CTCCTGGAAGAAGATGGAATTCACAGAAAGGTAACTTCACCTGGGAGCAGAGACAGAGGGAGGCTCAGGAACACAGTTGTTGCAAGCGTCCACTATCGGGGGCTCAGCCAGCTGAGCTGAGTGTGCAGGTCAGCACTGTACATTGTCCTCTGTGCAGAATCCGTGCACCCTACACTAAGAGGAGATGTGAGTCAACTCATTTATGAGGGACCCCCCACTGGAAGTAATAGAGGCACCAAGAAGGGAGAGGCTGCTCACCAAGAGATCATTCCCTGTAGCTTCTGAGTAACTGTGGAGCAATTTTGGGATCCCGAGTTACCAAGGGTGAGCAGGGGACAAGGTACCAGTTTCATCACAGGCCCTGCAACTGGCCCTTTGTCTCTCATCCCTCCAGAGGCAACAGAGATCTAAGTTATTGTGATTTGGGAAGTGATCGAAGGAAAGCAGAGTTAAATAGCATGAGAGGCTCTTACCCTGACACGATTGAGGCACACACAGGTGGGACCATGGAAGCGTTTGCTCGCTCTCTTGATCTCACTGAGCGAGTCGCTGAGTTTCCCAGCCATGTGTGATCTCTCTTGGTGCAGTCACCTTCCTGGCTCTATGATACAACCGCATTTTTACCACCAAACACGCATTTTATATTTGATGTAGATGGCTGGAATTGCTCTAAAGAACAAGCAGTCCATTGCCTGTGAGAGGAGAGTTCACACACCCATCCTCATGTTCATTTGGACAGGTTCATTTAGATCAGGCATGAAGTGCTCAAATACATTGCTACAGTTAATATCTTGATTGGTCATAGGCAGAAATTAAGCTGGAACAATGTTCAAAATGTTGCCTCTTTTAAGAGACAGCACAATCAAAATTAGGAGGTACTGAGATGAATCTTTGTGAGCACTCCCTCCTGGGCTGGGCCTTTAGCATGCATTAATTCATTTAATCCTCATTTAATTAAGACAGGGGTTCTTCCATTATGACTATTCCCCCATGGAACCTGCAGCAAAGAGACGTAAGTACAGAGAGTGCCAAAAAATGTATACTCATTTTAAGAAAGGAAAACACTGTATTAAAATTATAATACTGGCTTGGTGCCCGGAGCTCAGTGGTTACAGCACCAGCCACATACACGGAGGCTGGCAAGTTCAAACCCAGCCCAGGCCAGCTAAACAACAATAACAGCTGCAACAAAAAATAGCCAGGCATTGTGTTGGGCACCTGTAGTCCCAGCTACTCTCGAGGCTAAAGCAAGAGAATCGCTCAAGCCCAAGAGTTAGAGATTGCTGTGAGCTGTAACACCATGACACTCTACTGAGGGCAACATAGTGATACTCTGTCTCAAGGGAAAAAAAAAAATATATATATATATATAATTGATATATAAAAATAAATAAATTATAATATTTAAATCACATTTGACTTCTGCAATTACAAGAGATACATGATATAATATATAAGATAACAGAAGTCTAGGTGTATGTTCTTACAATTTTAATAGTTTCTTCCTTTCTTAACATATGTATACATTTTTTTGGCACCCCTGTATGTGACAAAGATTACCTAAGTGTCAAGTTAAGTAGCAGGGTCAGGTCTGAATGTGGGAGGTTTGACCCCAGGGCCTGGGCTCTTAGCCACTGCGCCATTCCATCTTCATTTCACAGAGGCTGCTGCTTCCAGCGGTCAACCCTTGGGATGTCACTCAAATGCCTGTTGTGGCTTGAGGAAGCCCAATAAATGACACCCCATTTCCATGCCTAAGTTTTTTATTTTTTCTGTTTGTTTTTGTTTAGTTTTTTTGAGATAGGGTCTTACTCTGTCACCCCTGCTAGAGTGCTGTAGCATCATAGCTCACAGCAACCTCAGTCAATCAATCAATCCTCTTGCCTCAGCCTCCTGAGTAGCTAGGACTACAAGTGCCCACCATGACTCCCTGCTAGTTTTTCTATTTTTAGTAGAGACAGGGTCTCACTCTTGCTCAGGTTGGTCTTGAAATTGTGAGCTCAGGCCACTGGCCTTGGCCTCTCAGAGTGCTAGGATTATAGGCATGAGCTGCCATGCCCTGCCCGTGCCTGAATTTTAAACCAATGGAGAAATAAGACAAGAGGACAGGGCAAGCGGGAGTCCAAAATGCCGCATTTGTTGCTGATAGAAACTGATATTGAGATCTAAAGTCCAGAATTAAATAAAGTTCACTGTTGAGAGTTAGGACTCCAGGGACAGATTGTCTGGGTGGGAATCCCAACTTTACCCTTTGCTAACTGGGAGACCTGAGCAACTTATTTATCCCTCGGAGACTCAGCCTCCTGCATTGTTTGAAGATTAAATGAGTTACTATCTGGGAAGCACTAGGAATAGTTATTGGCACGTGGTTGAGTTCTCAGACAAGATCAGCTATTATCTTACTTTTAACCACATAGTCCCCTGGGCACAGAGCCCCTGCCTGACTCCCTGCGCTCTCGCCTCTGAAGACGTGCTGCCGGAGGAGTAGAGAGCAGAAGTCATGCTTCCTGCAGGCCACTCACTTCCCAGGGAAAGGAGGAGGACAAGAGCTGGGCTTCACGGGTCAGCTCTCCTTACACCCCCACCCACCCCTGGGAGGGGAGAGGCTAGGAATGGTGGGCACGATAGCTTCCACCACACGGCATGAAAACACACCCCCATCCACACTCCCATCCCCATGTACTGGGCACCAGCTTCCTGGAAGCCCTGTTCTAGAAACCCAGGGATCTGTCATTGAGCAAACTTAGCAGTTGGGGAAGTGTTACATCGTTTGTTTGCTTTCTGATCCTAGCAATAGGTCGTATTATATAAGAAAAGATGAGAGGAATCAGATTGTTTGGCCTGGAAACTCAATGTATGCTACTCCCTGACACGGGAGGAGAGCCAGCGAGGTAGCACCGGTAAGCCCATGAGAAGAGGTTACAGGTGTGCTGGGGACAGGTGGCCAGAGACTCTTTAAGAGAGAAAGGCTGAAAGTGCAGCTTTTTATATTAACTAGAATTACAGTTGACCATGAATAATTCTCCCTTTATCATCATCATCATCATCATCTTCATAATTGTAACAGATACAACTTGATTGTCAAAGAAAAATTTATATTGTTTTTCAGTAGTAAAAGCCAGGAGGCTTCTGTTCTGCTACTGTGGGCCTGTCCTGTGCCAGGTAAGGGGCCCAAAGATGAACAGGGACAGTCCCTGCTCCTAGAGAAAGGACAAGGGACATGACAAAGCGTGAAGGAAGTGACACCTGGGCAGAGTTTAGGAGAGAGGAGGAAGAGCCCATCAGATCAACAGGCAGACAGCATGAGCGAAGGCCTGGAGGTTGGAGAAGGCTTGGAACAACAGAGCAGCTGAGCGCCCAAGCGCTTCCAAGGGAAAGAGGGTGAAGATGAGCCCGGACAGGCAGGCAGGGGCCAGCGGCAAGGGAGTGATGATGACAGATGGTAGGATTGGGCATCACGAAGATATTTCAGCAGGGGAATGATATGCCGAAGTACTCTGGTAGCAGGGCAGCAACTGGGCTGGAGAATGAAGTATTTTGTGGAGTTATCTTTTGAAATGAGCACCTTCAAGGTAATCATGGACCTTATCAGAGAACCCTAAGGAGGGGCAACCTCATGGAACACACAGCGTTGGGTAGTTCATTTCAGGTTAATAAAGAAAAACATGGCTAATGGGCTCAGCGCCCATAGTGCAGTGGTTATGGCGCCAGCCACATACACTGAGGGTGGCGGGTTTGAACCCAGCCTGGGGCCAGCTGAGCAACAATGACAATTGCAACAATAACAAAAATAGCTGGGCATTGTGGTGGGCACCTGTGGTCCCAGTTACTTGGGAGGCTGAGGCAAGAGAATCGCTTGGGCCCAAGAGTTTGAGGTTGCTGTGAGCTGTGATGCCATGACACTCTACCGAGGGCAACATAATGGGACACTGTCTCAAATAATAATTATAATAATAAATAAAAAGAAAGACAGACAGACAGACAGACAGACATGGCTAATGAAGTCTGGGTCTCAGCCTGACATCGTCTCCTAGGTTACCTCTCCTTGCCCCAGGACAGCACCCTGGACATTATCCACTAACAGTCGTCACTCTGGTCAATGGCCATCAGGGGAGCAGGCGTTTTTGTCTTTCTTATTTATTGCTATCTCCCAGTTGCTTGCTCAGTGTCTGGCACTAGAAGATGCTCAATCAATACCTCTTGAATTAAAAGCAAGAGTCACACTGGTGGCATGATCAGAGATGGAGCCAGGGGATATGATTTTCCTCCTGGTACGTCACTATAAATGAAACCCAGAGGCTGGAAGCGTTCCCTGAAAGAGAAGTGGTTTTAATCCGGGTCTGTCAGATGCTCCCTGGATATATTTCACCCTGGTGTGCCTTGCTTTCCGCATCTGTGAGGTGAGGTACATGGACAAAAACGATTACTAGGTCTCTCCCTCCAATCCTAGCGTTTTATGCATGAAAAAGTAGGCTTTGCCTGCCACTCTCCTTTCTCTCACGCTGCTGTGTTTCAGAAAGACATGGCCACTGGCAAGAGAGAAGAAAACGTCATGATTTTAGCCTGAGAAATTGAAGGACTCTTCTAAAGATGCAAGGTATTTAAACAGAGAGTACAGATCTGGATTGTCTGGAATTTGTTCTGGGAAAGAAATATTTATTTTTACAGGATGAATTAAACTGAGTTCCAATCACTTTTTTAAGAAGCAAGATTTTTTCCAGAAAACATCTTCCAGAAGCAAGAGGGGGCTCCAGCGGCATGAATGCCAGAGAGAAAGAGTGAGAAGCAGCCCTGCCTCCTCCCTGGTCCCCGTGGATAGTGCTGAGATTTGGCGAACTGAGACTTGTCCATTGCCTCCCTGCTTCACACTCCAGGACAGGGCCCAAGCCCAGCCTCCGCCAGGATCCTGCCCCCAGCGCTCCTGTGTGCAGCTGGGCAGCGGGAGTGCTGAGTGGGAGGATTGCTCTGTGGGGGAAAAGCCCAACCAGCAAACTACTCACCGGGGGTCTCTTCCAGACGAACTGGATGGGGAACTTCTGGCTATAGAAGAGAGAGGTCTCATCCGGTGGGAACTCAGGGTCCACATAAAGAACTTTCTTTTCTAGACATTTCTTGTGAAGCTGCTCATAAGTCTTCTCTTTCACTCCAATTATAGGAAAATTGCGGCTGATGATGGCTGAGTAGATGCCACTTGGGTTTCCGCCCCCAGCCTCGATGGTCTTGCTCTGGGCTGGCTGAGGAATGGGCCCTGGGGACCTGGGCTCAGCCCCTGTCCGTGGGGCCACGGACGCACTAATGACGGTCGGCATGGCAGGCAACTTTGGAGGGAAAACGTTTTTCTTTAAAGAAAACAAGATACGGCTACCTTCAAGGAAAGGAAGCAACTGCAAAGGGGAAGTTGGAGGGATTCTGTCATCTGAGAGAAAAATGTCCACATTCAATTCAAAGTCTAAAGCCCATCAGAAGGTCGTCCAGCTCACGTCCATCTTGAAAACTGAGCTGTGATCCTGAAGCTATACGTTTCCCCGAGGAAGGAGCACTAAAGGTTTTTACTTGGGGGGCTCCTACCAGCAGCATGAATGCCAGAGAGAGAGAAAGTGAGGGTTGTGTTTCCGTGGCCTGAAGAAGCTTGAGCCAGGAAAACTAAAAATAGATGTGAAGAAAGATCATGAGTATGACAGCAAGAGAGACTGCATGGCAGAGGGAGGAGGATGTGGCCAGGGACATTTCTGGGTTGCTACAAAGTGCTGGTGTCGTCAGGAAAAGCAAGGGGAGTATCTGAGTAAGGTGCACGCCAAAAATTAGCCATGAACTGCTGAGGAACTCCTGAATAAACACTTACATAGACTATCAAACTGTTAGCCACAAAATTAATGGAAAACAATATCGAAAAAAGCTAGCTAGGGTGAATGTGAGATACTCAATTCTAGGGGAATATTCTGTGCCTTTTAGAGAACATGTTTACCTTCTAAAACTGTAGGATATCAGAGCATCATTCAGTAATGGACTTAGCATCTTTTCTAGATGTTCTGGTGTCAGCAGCAGTCAGTGGAAAATGGCACTCAGCAGAATCCTCAGCTGAGAGAATCCCCGTCTCTTCTTGACCACTGACCTAGCCTCCTCTTGAGTCCCCCCACCCCCAGAATAAACACTGCAACCTCAAATCTGCTACACAAAGTGTGCCTGACGACATGAAGTCTTCACTAACAACCTTGGTAGATAGGCTCTTGGAAACCGCTACTTTAAACAACATGACACACAGTAGAATGAAACCAATTTTACCGCTGGTTAATTTACATAAACAAGAGTTAAGTCCCTACAGCATCCAGTAGGTCATTTTGCTTCAAGTTACAGTTTCCCAGGACATATTGATGATGTTAAGTGAGGACTCACCATCCAGGTTACATGTTGACTGTCACACAGTCAATGCCGTATTAGGCATCTGAGACAGAGGTTGGAATTGGATACCGAAGCGGGTTGGCTGTCAACTTCTGGGATGTCTTACTTAAGAAGTTGATTTCAGGCTCTCAGATGAGAGCATCAGTGGCTCTGAGGAAGGGAACTGCCAGCCTGGCCCCCACCTTATCTCCTTTGTGGTATCTGCTCCCTGGGCTGTAAGAAGATCTTACATCTCAAGTGTGGCCAAGCAGCAGCGCGTCTCAGACTGCAGCTGTGCCTGTTCTCAACAATCTAAGATTAGAGGCTATGGGAGAAGGTGGGCAGTAACAGTGACCCAGGGAACACTATGAGGCTCACAATTACTGGGGTTGCCGCTTTGAGGAACCCTATGTCTGGGCTTGCAGGGACCACATCTTGGACTTCTGTCCCTCCAAGAAAATGCCCAGGGCCTTTTACTAGTCTTGGAGTGGCAGGATAGAGGAGAGCAGTCTCTGGAGGCTGACCACCTCAGTTCGAAGTCTAGGTTGGCCATTTCCTGGCTGTGCTTGTGTAACATTAGTTTAGAAATTTCCTTTCTTTCTGTCTCAGTTTTCTCACCTATAAAATGGGTACAATAACAGTCATTCTGTTATTGAGTTGTTGTTAAGGATTAAATTAATTTATAGAAGAGGCTGAATGATACATTCACTCACTGATGTGAATAACCATTCACTCTATGAGCACTTACTGAATATCTTCCATGAGCACAGGGATCGGTGTAACCTGCCCAGGCTCATGTGGCTTCCAGTCAGAAGCCTGCCTATCTGCCTGCACTCAAAGAGACTAAAAAGATTGAATTCCATCCTCAAACTCACCCATGGCACAGATAGCAAAGTTTGAGTCCTAGCCCAGCCTCTATACCACCTTGAAATCGATGGCACTGACTCACATTTTGTTTCTATGTATTTAATTTGCCCAGAAGATGGTGAAGGTGGGACTGGGTTCCCATTCTACCCTCAGGGTTAAGCATATAGAAAGGCCTTAATAAACATGTGTTATATATCCATTGAATGGAATTTTCCTATGCGAAGAGAAATTCCTCACGCTTAGGGCTTTGCCAATTCAATCAATGTTTCTTGGCTGGTTCGCTGCTGGGGGAGGAGCTGTCTCTGGGCCACACACCTGCTGAGCTGTCTTCCCTCAGCTGTCTAAGCCAGCACCATCTGTCAGTAACCAAGAACAGAGCAGGGTGGGAATGGAAAACACATAGGGCAGGGTGCTGTTCCTTTGCTCCATCATTTGTTGGGGATAAAACATCCTCTCAGATTTGTAGGTCCAAATTCAGATTTATTTAATACCGCAGCTGTGGCAACCAAAGCTATCAGGAGACATCCAATCTGAGCTCATGAACCAAGGACAGGAAACGAGCATGTAAAAAGCTACACTTTCAATTCCCAGAAACCTCTTCAAGGATAAAGAACTTGTTCCTGTAACATGTTTCAGCCAAGGTCCTGCAATATCTGTGGCTGGAATGGTTTTTGTTGCATGACAATGCCAACACTGTCTTTTCTTCTTTTTTGAGACAGAGTCTCACTATGTCACCCTCGGTAGAGTGCTGTGGCATCACAACTCACAGCAACCTCAAACTCTTGGGCTTAAGTGATTCTCTTGCCTTAGTCTCCCAAGTAGCTGGGACTGCAGGCACCTGCCACAGTGCCTGGCTATTTTTTTTGTTGTCGTCGTCATTGTTTGGCAGGCCCCGGCTAGGTTCGAACCCGCCAGCACCGGTGTATATGGCCAATGCCCTAGCTGCTGAACTACAGGGGCCAAGCCCCAACACTGTCTTTTCTAACAAAAAATCTTTCTTTAAATTGTGGTATATGTACACCATGGAATATTATGCAGCCTTAAAGAAAGATGGAGACTTTACCTCTTTCATGTTTACATGGATGGAGCTGGAACATATTCTTCTTAGCAAAGTATCTCAAGAATGGAAGAAAAAGTACCCAGTGTATTCAGCCCTACTATGAAACCAATTTATAGCTTTCATATGAAAGAATATGGGGAAAAGGGAGAGGGAGGGGAGGGGAGGGGGCCGGATGGGTGGAGGGAGGGTAATCTGTGGGACCATACCTGCCGTGCATCTTACAAGGGTACATGTGAAATTTACTAAATGTAGAATATAAATGTCTTAACACAATAACTAAGAAAATGCCGTGAAGGCTATGTTAACCAGTTTGATGAAAATATTTCAAATTGTATATAAAACCAGCACATTGTACCCCATGATTGCATTAATGTACACAGCTACGATTTAATAAAAAAAAATTTCTTTAACACTATTGGAAGAATAGCGTAGTCGCTTATAATTATAGCACCTACCATTTCATCAAGTGCCTACTATGAGCTAGCCACTTCACATAGTGTGCTTTCAAAATAATTTTAGACTTACAAACAAATTGCAAAACGGGACTCCTAGTGTCCTCTAAGCTCTGACAATTCTAGTCTTTGTCTCTCATGACCTTGACACTGAATAGGTATTTTGTAGAATGTCCTTCACATTGGGTTTGTCTGATGTTTTTCAGAGGATTAGACCAGAGTTATGGATTGGGGGTAAGATATAACAGATGTGACATGTCCTTCCCCAATAATATTTGGGGGTACATGATATGTTTTATTACAGGTGATGCCAATTTTGATCACTTAGCCAAGGTGATATCTTTTTTTTTTTTTGAGACAAAGTCTCACTATCCTGCCCTCAGTAGAGTGCCCTGGCATCCCAGCTCACAAGCAACGTTAAACTCTTGGGCTTAAGCAGTTCTTTTGCCTCAGCCTCCAGAGGAACTGGGACTACAGGTGTCCACCACGATGCCTGGCTATTTTTTTGTTGCTGTTGTCACTGTTATTTGGCTGGCCAGGGTTGGCTTAGAAGCCACCAGCCTGGGTGTATGTGTCCAGTACCCTATCCACTGAGCTATGGATGCGGCCCTAGTCAAGGTGGTATCTGTCAGGTTTGTCCATGGTAATGCTAAGCTACCCAACAGATGCTGTGGTAGGCAGCAGGGTGTCACTGGGGTCTCCAGACCAGGGAGCGTCATGGTACAACTGGTGTTCTGTCTGTCCCATGCCAAGCCACACTATAACCTGAGGAAAGGAAAACTCAGGAATTCTGATCCTGGCTTCATTTAAAATGTTCATATTTTATTCATCATAGGGTTTTTGCATTAATTTTGATTTTTAAAAACAGTACATTAAAATATTTATTTTGATTACTGCATTTTTGGTACCTCCTTAAATTCTGTGGCTGAGGCAAGTACCTAATTCTAATCCCAGCCTACTTCTGAAGTTCGGTTGTGGGGGACGTGGGCCTTCCTTCCTTCCTTTCTCCCTCTCTCTCTCCCTCCCTTCCTTCCTTTCTGTCTTTCTAGATAGGGTTTCCCTGTGTCTCCTGGGCTATAGTGCAGTGATGTCATCATAGCTCACAGCAAACCTCAAACTCTTGGGTTCAAGTGATCCTCCTGCCTCAGCTTCCTGAGTTGCTACAACTACAGGCATGCACCACCATGCCTGGCTCATTTCCTATTTTTCTCTAACTCCTGGCTTCAAGCAAGACTCCTAACTCGACCTCTCAAAGTGCTGGGATTACAAGTGTGAGCCACTGCGCCCAGCCTTATTTCATTAACTATACATAGTAACCTACTCATATTATGATAATCTTTGGTTAGTAGATAATATTTAGTAAAAAACAATTAAACAAAGGCATTTGAATTTTAAGAAGATTAATTTGAAACTTTTGAGCCTGAGAAGCATGAGAGAAAAAAGAATTCTCTGTGTTCCTAAGTCAATCCTTAGAAAGAGTAGCTCTGTGTTGCCATGGTGCACCCAGAAGAGGGCTGTGTTCACAGTCCCCGTGGATAAAGATAACTCTGGGGGGGTTCCTGAAGCTACTGTCCACTTGGAGATTAGCCTTGAGCAACTCAGCTACTGCAGCAGCCAGAGGAACTCTACCTCATGGCCTGAGGCAAATCCCTGCAACCCCCCCAAATGGGTCACTCAAGTGGGCTTAGTCTATCTCCAAGCAAACCCACGCAGCCCTGCTCAAGGAGAGACTGCTCCCTGGGACACACTGCTTGCCACAGGGTCATGGTCCAATGGTCCAAGAGGTAATGGAAGATTCATGAACCCTAGAAATGTCTCAGAGCCATGTGGGTCTGGGAGATGAAGTGGCGTTTGACGTAAAGAGTATCACTAGTAAATCTTAAAATACCACAAAACATAAAATCTTAAAATATGAACTCTATTTTTCATTAGCAGCACACAGGTAACCAGTGAAAGATTTTGAGCTCAGGAAGTCAATTATATTGCAGTACAAATCTCAGAAAAGCCTAAGGGAAGACTAGAAAGGTGCAGGCAGCTCTCAGCTCAGAAGACCAGGGGCGCTTCTTGGTTACTTGAAATGGACCTCCCAGTCGGTGCCAATGTGCAGTGAGAGCTTGTCCAGGTGCAGGGTGGAGGTTCTGGTACAATATGTAAAAGCCACAGGCTGATCTTTACCATCTAAACAGCAAGACAATAAAAGAGAAAAAGAGAGGAAAAGAGAGAAGAGAAAGAGTTAGATTAGTATCTAGGAGGGAAAAATCTTTTCTTTAAATCTGAAATGTTTTTTGACTGTATCATAAAACCTTATCCCTCTTAGGAGAATCCAAATTAATAGCACTTTTAACTATGAATGTCCACAGAATTTTTTTTTTTTTTGAGACAGGAGCCTCAAGCTGTCCCCCTGGGTAGAGTGCTGTGGCATCACAGCTCACAGCAACCTCCAACTCCTGGGCTCAAGTGAGTCTCCTGCCTCCGCCTCCCAAATAGCTGGGACCACAGGCACCCACCACAATGCCTGGCTATTTTTTGGTTGCAGCCATCATTGTTGTTTGGCAGGCTTGGGCTGGATTCAAACCCACCACCTTGAGTGTATGTGGCTGGCACCTTAGCCACGTGAGCCACAGGCACTGAGCCATGTCCACGAATTTTTTAAAACACGACACATTTTATTGTTTTATTTTTCAAATTTTTTTCTTTTTCTTTCTTTTTTTTTTTGCAGTTTTTGGCCAGGGCTGGATTTGAACCCGACACCTCCGGCATATGGGGCCAGCACCCTACTCCTTTGACCCACAGGCGCCACCCCACATTTTATTGTTTTGAGTGCAAGATTGGTTGAAAAGAAATTGTAAGGAACAAAGTGATTTGTCCAAGAACTTTAGTAGTCAAGGAAGGCTATACATCCCATCCTATGCCCTTTCCTAATGGTGGTCACATGGGTAGGATTCTCCAGGACTTGAGATAGCTATAGTTTAGAAAAAAATTCAGAGAAGCCAGATACTATTTCACGTCCCAAACAATTTCCCTTATAAAAATATTAATAGTGAACAGAAAGACCAATTTGTGATGAGAAGCAGGATGTCGTCACTTACTCCAGACACGAGGTTATTTGACCTCTACAGAAAGCACAGAGTTTACTCAGGCTAAATGTCAGTTTTGGGACTAATCATCTCATCACTGCAGATACTTCTATGTCTACAAAAACAAATGGTGAGGTAAGAATGGACTGTTTCTTCACCAGATAAGTGGGTGGTCACAGAAGATGGCTCCTTCCTGAGGCCTAAGACCAAGATCTTGTCCACCACACACCTGCTGGGGTAATGACCCCTCTGGTTAGCAGAACTGGAAGAGACACAAATGGTATTAGGAAAAGGAGAGGGATGGGTGTTTGAACTGGTCACCATGTCAATGCCTTCAGCCTGTGAGTTCCTCTCTCACCTTTCCCTCTGGAGGTATGATCATATTTACTACAATGAAGAGATAATAAAAGATGACTCTATGCCAAGGAATAGCTAACCAGCAGCCAAACCGCTCTCCCTTTAACAAGCCATTGGAGAGAAATCACTAATGGACACAAAAGTCACAGGTGTGACTTGGATACCGAAATCAAATTGTAAGAAATCAGATAATTAATGAATTGGAGGAAGAATGAATGAAGGGAATTAATGGGCGCTTAAGTTGAATCCTTTTATTTTTTTTTAACTTTTTCGGGGGGGAGGAAGAAAGCAGAGACAATAAGGGAGGGACGTTCATGGTAGACAGACTGAAAATACTCCACAAATTATCTTCACATTCATTCCTTTAAATAGTACTCTAAACTATGACGTGTACATCTGAAGGTATCAAAAGGATAGCATGATTTATTTAAGAGACCACACAACCTCTTTTGCTGCCATTACCTGTTGATCAAAACACTGGAACAGAATGAAAACTTCCTGTGTAAGAATTGCTTCTGGTGGAGATACTGAAATGAGTGACCATCATCAAGATATAACTCACCCATTGCAGAAGCCTGGAGAGTAAACCACAGATACAGCATGGGCGTATATGACAGTTTTATAGGAAAAGAATATCATTTCATAAAGTGTAACAACAGAATAAAAAGTTTGTGAAAAATTATTAATTAACAAATGCTTAATATTCAAGCTGCACAAAGTAGTCATACAAATACCTAATCCTACAAATACCAATCGCTCCTGAATAGATAGTGAAACAATATGAATAGGCAAGTCACATAAGAGGGCCACAAAGAGGTAGGCTTTGTTGAAAGAAATTTAAATGATGGTCAGTGGTGTAAGTGGCTTCCCTAAAAACATTATACCAGAATGTGACAAGGCCAAGAAATTTCACAGAATGAAAATGAAATTAAAACAAAAATCAGTATACAGGCTCGGTGCCTCTGGCTCAAGTGTCTAAGGCGCCAGCCACATACAACTAAGGTGGTGGGTTCGAATCCAGCTTGGGCCCGCCAAACAATGACGGCTGCAACCAAAAAATAGCCAGGCATTGTGGTGGATGCTTGTGGTCCCAACTACTTGGGAGGCTGAGGCAGGAGACTCGCTTGAGCCCAGGAGTTGGAGGTTGCTGTGAGCTGTGATGCCACGACACTCTACCCAGGGGGACAGCTTGAGGCTCTATCTCAAAAAAAAAAAAAAAAATCAATATATAGTGGGTGAGATCAAGTATCTTTATAAGACCCTCCATTGAGAGAATGGTATCTGAGTCCTATTTATCTTTTGGTAGGAGGGGCCCCCGTTCCAGGTCAAACAATGTCAGGGCACTCCACATGGCAGCTTACTGTTACTGGTAATGCTTAAGCGATTGATCTCTAGTCTCTTGCATTATCTACTCTGAGTCCTTGATGGCCTTGGCTCATAATTTGGCCCAAGAAGAGTTGCCTAAGTGGAACAGATGGAAAACAAAGCTGTCATTTGCTTATCTTATAATATCAATATAGAGAAGAGTATTCATATTATAAGAGGAAGCATTTGTGTTTGTTTGGCCATTTATTATATTTGGGCAAATAGAAAGGAGAGGATCTGCTACAGGCTCCATCAGACTCAAAAGATCTTTTCAGGGCGGTGCCTGTGGCTCAAGAGAGTAGGGCACCGGTCCCATATGCCGGAGGTGGCAGGTTCAAACCCAGCCCTGGCCAAAAAATGCAAAAAAAAAAAGAATCTTTTCAAAAAGACAAATTGGTTCTGGATCTTCCCAGGCTTTACCTAAGATTTTAGTTGTTTGAGCCACCTGCTGAGAAAAGTTCTTGGGTTGGGTTGGGGTCCCTGAAATGGCATATAGACACGGGTACCCTTTTACAGCAGACCGGGTTTCAGGGCTAATCCACACAGGCAGGCTGTCTATGGCCCAAAGAGCTTTCATTCCAGTAGTCATCAACATCAAGCTCAAGAGCACCAACAGTCACAGTGCTCAAGAAGGACATTTCTATCATCCCCAGATCTCAGAGATCCCTGAATAACAATTTTAAGAAGATGGGAAAAGCTGGACAATGATTCAGAAATAATTCAAAAGCTTGATGTCTAGCTTTGTGCACAGGCAGTATCGTAGCCAATGAGGTGTATCTGAGGCATGATTACTGCTAATTAAAAACTTTTCACAATGCCCCACCATGACAACTTGCAATATAGTTGGCTCTGGCAATTTTTGACAGTCTCTATGGAGACTGAATTAAAAAAAAGAAAAACCTTGATTTCTAAGTAGCATCAGAAGCATCTATCTCATAGATGGGGCTTGCCACTTTACACGGTATCACTCATTTGGAAGGCTGCCTACACTAAAAAGAGACACAAAGCAGAAACAAAAAGGGTAATGGATTTTCTAAATACCTTAGTGCATAGAGCAACCCGGAGTCCATAAGGGGAATCAGCCATCCAGCCTGTGGATTTTCCTACAGTTGTCTTCACTGGCACTATAGTTCCACCTCGCTGAAACACTGGTATCTGTAAGAGAGCAGGACGCTCAGGGAAGGAGTATTCACATACAAAAATGTCAAGGTAGAATTTTACAATATTTCACTGTTTACAATTCACACACTTTACAAGCACAGACTCAAGAGTAAAACAGACCAGGTGCAGTGGCTTTACCTGTAATCCTAGCACTATAGGAGTCCGAGGCGGTTAGATTGCTTGAGCTCAGGAGTTTGAGATCAGCCTGAGCAAGAGTGAGACTCCATCTCTACTAAGAATAGAAAAACTGAGTAAAAAAGACTGCTTGAGCTCAAGAGTTTGAGACTTCTGGGCAGTGCCTGTGGCTCAAAGGAGTAGAACGCTGGCCCCATATGCCAGAGGTGGCAGGTTCAAACCCAGTCCTAGCCAAAAAAGAAGAGTTTGAGATCTCAGTGAGCTATGATGATGCCATGCCACGGTCACCTAGGTTGATCATGTGAGATTCTGTCTCAAAAAAGAAAAAAAAAAAGAATGAAATAAATTGTGGGCACAGAGATGGCAAATGTGGGGGCCCTAGCATGAAAAGAAAAGAGCTCAAACACTAAAAAAGGTCCATTTTTTAATTATTAGGGAAAAATCTCACCCTTCATTGTGTTATTATCTGTATCTCTCTTTGCTGCTTTTTCTTTTCGAGACAGAGCCTCAAGCTGTCACCCTGGGTAGAGTGTCATGGCATCACAGCTCACAGCAACCTCCAACTCCTGGGCTCAAGTGATTCTCCTGTCTCCGCCTCCTAAGTAGCTGGGACTACAGACACCTGCCATAACACCTGGCTATTTTTTGGTTGCAGCTGACATTGTTGCTTGGCAGGCCTGGGCTGGATTCAAACCTGCCAGCTCAGGTGTATGTGGCTGGCACCTTAGCTGCTTGAGCCACAGGTGGCGAGCCTGCTTTTTCTTTAAGTGATCAATTCTATTCTGCCCATCCTATAAGTGGCCCTTCCTATTTTGTATTTTAATTTTCCTATCAATATAATAAACATATTTATTTCCAGAGGCTTGCTAAAGAGTAAATGTCTCTGTGTAAGAGGATCGGATGTATGTGTGTGTACATGTGTATGTATATAACAGGTGGTGGTTTCTTGATTTGGGGAGTTGACATTTAAACTTACTCATTGTGGCCTCTCCCCTTGCTCTCTGCTTCTCTGGCCCACTAGAATGACTGAGGGTCAATCTGTGAAACTGTTTCTATTATAGAAACCATCAAGGGTACTTTAAGTGACCCTCACAACAGAGCTGTAGGCACATCGCATTCCAATGGGTCTTCTTGAATGGTACTCTGGGCAGGCAAAGCCACTAGGTTTCCTACCTCCTGTAAAGAAGCTGCCTGGGTCACATGACAGCTTGTACTTTGTTCTGAGTCAAACACTAGCAAGGAGAAGAGTACACAGACATGCATGAAGTTGAGAGTAACGGTGAAGCAGTTGAGATGCTCTGTCTATCCAAATCCTTCCAGGTAAATATGAAAACAACAACAACAACAAAAAGACGCTCCCTCTGCTTAACTTGCAGTTGGCAGCAAAAAAGTAAAGCATACCCATCTCCTCACCACATCCCCTCTCCCTCCTTGGCCAATTTCTCTCTTCTTTCTCTTTTCTCTCAAAGAACAAGGTGGATTGCTTGAGGCTAGGAGTTTGAGACTAGCAACATAATGAGACCCCATCTCTAAAAAATTTTTTAAAAAATTGGTAAGGGATGGTGGTATATGCCTGTAGCCTTCTCTACTGAGGAGCTGAAGTGGGAGGATCACTTGAGACCTGAAGTTCAAGGCTGCTGGGAGCTATGAGCAGGTCACTGCATTCTAGCCAAGGTTGAAAGTTAGAGTGCAGTGGGCACCAGAATAGGAGCCTAGCCCAAGGGAATGCACCTGGTGGCTTGCCTCAGTTCTCCCACAATCTAGGTGTGACCCTGGATACGTAATTTAACTTCTCTGAACCTCACTTTTTTCACCTGTGTGAGGGTTTAGAGTAGATCATTGTTAATGCCTTTTCTAGATCTGAAAGTTGATATCTGAAATAATTTCCTATAATGGGGTTCATATTTCTGCTGATGATTTAAAAAAATAACACTGGTATCTGTTTATTAGCCTTCACACTAGCAAGAGTCTGGTAGAGGTTGTGATTCAGGAAGCTTCAGGAAGAAACTTCCCTTTAGGAACTCAAGATAGGCCAGGCATGGCGGCTCATGCCTGTAATCCTAGTACTCTGGGAGGCTGAGGTGGATGGTCTGCTCTGAGACCAGCCTAAACAAGAATGAAACCCTGTCTCTGCTAAAAATAGAAAAACTAGCTGGGCATCCTGGTGGGCACCTGTAATCCCACCTACCCCAGAGGCCAAGGCAAGAGGATCACTGAGTTTTTTGAGGTTGCTGTGAGTTATGCCACCAGGGCACTCAATTGAGGGTGGCAAAATGAGACCCTGTCTCAAAATAAATAAATAAATAGAAAAAAAAAGAAAGAAAGAAACTCAAGACAGTCTAGATGGGCTATGTTGACTCTAATATCATAACTGATGCATTCCCTTAGATCTAGAGGCTCAGGTTACAACTGAAAACTCTTGTTTCTTAACTTGGTCCTGTAGAAGGACATTTTATATGACGCATGTGATGACCAATATGTTTTCTCTGTTTTCAGTGTTCTTCTAAGACACACAAATATAAACTACAGGGAAGAGTTGTGTTTGTCCCTCAGGCTTCATACAATGAAATCAGAGTATATATATATATATGTAGTATATATATACACACACACATATATGTTACTTTTAGCTTTTTTCAATAGTTTTATTGATAATTCACATGCTATACAATTCACCAATTTAAAAAATATAATTAAATAGTTTTCAGTATGTTCAGAGTCATACAACCATTGCCACAATTAATTTTAAACATTTCTATCACCCCTCAAAGAAACCCTATACCTGTAAATAATCACTCCCATATTCCCCAAACTCTCTCCAGGCCCCAGCTGTAGCCAACCACTAATGGACTTTCTGTCTCTATACTTATGTGTCATCATGCATAACACTAAAATCCTTGGTTCTTTCTTTTCTTTTGAAAATTTTTTTAGAGATGGGGGTCTCACTACATTACCCAGACTGGTCTTGAACTCCTGACCTCAAGTGATCCTCTCGCTTTAGCCTCCTGAGTAACTGGGAATACAGGTGCGAGCCACTGTGCCTGGCCTTGATTCTTTCTACATAGGAACTTACTATGAGCTGAATGCTTGTGACCCCCCTAATTTAATTGGAGATTGAATCCCCAATCTTGATGTGACTATATTTGGAGGTAAGGACTTTATAGAGGTAGTTAAGGTTAAAAATAAGGTCATAAGGGCAGGACCTTATATGAAGAGACATGAGACAGCTCTCTCTCTCTCCCCCCCATGTGAGGGCACAGCAAGAAGGTGGCAGTAGATAACCCAGGAAGAGGTCCCTCACCAAGAACTGAATCAGCTGACACTTTGGTCTGGGACTTCTAGCCTCCAGACTGTGAGAAAATAAATTTCTGTTGTTTAAGCCACCTAGTCTGTGGTACTTTGTTATGGCAGCCTATTGTGCCATATTAGAGTAGACTAATATAGTACAACCAGGAAGAATAATAACCTAAAAATAACTTACAGTGTCCAAGGCTACTGGGATCTTCACAGTACATCCTCCTTCCCAATGAGCAAATGTCTTCAAGTCATACCAGACCTAAAAAGTAACAGACCCCAATCAAAAGGTTATTTATGAACAGTTCCGTTTAGTTTCATTATTTAGTAAAATGTCCCCTCACTTGAATTTCCAACAACCAGAAAGCTAAAATAAACATAACTTAAAAAAATAGTGGGTAGAAGTTAGCAAGAACACATGTTTTTAAGGATCCAAAAAGCCTAGGATTGATTAATATAACTTAAATGCCACTTGTTTATCCATGTATTCATCCAAATTATTTACTGAACAACCTACCTTGTGCCCAGCACCGTGCTAGGTGCTGGGTATATATGAGTGAATGGAAAAGACAAAATTTCTGCCCTCATGGATCTTACAGCCTACTTGGCTTATAAAAATTTAATGTGTCTAATAGTAAAACAAATGATGGAAATGAGGAAAAACAACGAAGAAAAACAGCATATCACAGGCAAATAAATTACAGAAGAGGCAGGAGAAAAGGAAAGCCTCAGAGAAGGAGATAAATCTGGGAGGAAACAAATGGAAACGCAGATTATTATTATAGCATCATTTTTTTTAACAAAGTATAATTCAAGGATAAGGGTCCTACATGGGATCTGTGTCAAGGAAGTTTTGTTGTTGAAGAACTGAAAAGATCCCACAAAGTAATTTGATGGGATAAACACTTAAGATATCATCAGAAGCAGCATGAAAACAAAAACCTCCTTTTCTCTCTAGTCTAGCACACTTGGCACCCACCTAGTCTGTTTTGCAAGTTCACCTCCTAGTATGACCACACGCTTTATATAGTAGGTATGTGAAGTTGTAGCAAGAGAAACAATCACAGAACACTCTGGGAAATAGTGTTGAAGGAATACAATACATAGTCACAATAATATGCTTACAGTGACAACAGATCAGGAGTAAAAATTTATGGCTAAGTTGGAAAGAGAGCCAGTTCCTCTTAATCAGAGTGTACAGTTTTCTTGGAATCAACTTGAGAAACTTATCACACGTTTCCCACGTGGAAATGCTCAACAGCTCAACAGGACCACTTATATAGCTGCTTCTCAGGTTTTTATTTGGTAGGGGAATCTTGGTAAAGAGCCCACAACTTCGGAACGCCAAATTATTGGAGAAACCAGGAGGGAAGATCATCATTCATGAACATTCTGGAGAAAAGCCTGGTTACTGTCCTAGCAATAATGACAAGTATAGTTGCAGAGAATGGTGGCCCCTCAAAAAGACACATTCACTTTATGATCCCTGAAAGGAGTACCTTCCATGGTCACAGAGTTGATTCTGTTAAGGGTATTGAGATAAGGAGATTATCCCAGATTTTTTTTTTTTAAGACAGAGTCTTACTTTGTCACCCTCAGTAGCGTGCTGTGGCATCAGAGCTCACAGCAACCTCAAACTCTTGGGCTCAAGTGATTCTCTTGTCTCAGTCTCTCAAGTAGCTGGGACTACAGGTGCCTGCCACAATGCCCAGCTATTTTTAGAGACCAGGTCTCACTCTTGCTCAGGCTGGTCTCATACCTGTGAGCTCAGGTAACCCATCAGCCTCGGCCTCCTAGAGTGCTAGGATTACAGGTGTGAGCCTGCACCTGGCCTCAGAGATTATCCCAGATCATCCCGGTGGGCCTTAAATGCCACCACAAGAGACAGAAGAAGAGACAGGTACACACAGAGGAGAAAGCAATATAAAGATGCAGGTGAGACTGGAGTGATGTGGCTTCAAACCAAGGAATGCGAAGACTTGCCAGCAGTCACCAGAAACCAGGAAAGAGCACGGCACAGATTCTCCCTCACAGGCTCCGGAAGAAACTGACCCTGTCAACATTTTGATTTTGAACTTCAAGCCTCTGGAACTGTGAGCTTTGTGGGAATCTGTCACAGCAGTCTCAGGAGATTAATAGAACAACCAAACATGTGAAGCTAGGTTGAGAGAGACCATGGGTGCTGGACGTGGTTTCACAGTGTTGCTATCTTAGAGCTTGACAGGTACTCTGAGCAGTGGGTGTGGCCTGGCTCAGCTACCTGCTCCGCCCGCCCCCCCTCCAGGCCAGGACTACCTGATGTGGCCCAACACCAGCTCAGATTCCTCCATGGCTCCTCCCCCTGCCTGCTGAAGCCTGTGGTGATGTTCCAGTGCTCAAGGACTCTCTCTGGGGTGTTTCTCCTTCCTGCTCTCCATTCCATACCCTCCTTCCCTAGGCTGGTACCCCAGGTTTCCACTCTGGCTCTTCTCCTGGCTCATTTGGATAAATCCGGGGTCTGCCTCTGGGGGATGTTACTCTCAGTACCCAGGGCTCTCTGCTCTGCAGACTCTGGGTTAGTCCCGCCTCTCCCCTGTGCTCTGCTGGGTTTAGTGTCCTGGGCTCCAGTAGGTCCAGGATGATACCTAGTGACCGTAATTAATGGAAATAACTAATAAAATAGCAGGAGAATCCCGAGCGGGGAATAGAGGGAAGTCACTGTTACTTTTTACCCACTTCGGTGAATGTCTTGAGACCAACTTTTGACACCAAAAACTCAGGATGCAGATAGAGCCAGAACCAAAGAGCAAAGTCTTTTTATATTTCTATTTCCCCACAGAGTCTGATATCTCATAGTAGACTAAATATTTCTTCCTACCCAAGCCTCAGTGTCTGTAGGGAGTTATACAGGTCACAGTGGGAAGATAAAAAAATCATTCTGATCCTCCGAGGAGTCATCACCTATTCACCTTTCTCCCTGCCTCTTCCATTAAGTCTCTCTACCTGTAAGGACAGTGGTCACAACGTACAAGAATCATCAGGAGCACCAGTCATTTGGGCTGTGTTCACAACTGCATGATGAAGAATTCTCTTTCCTGGAAGAAATTAAGGATTAGGGACATGAGACACATGAGACACGAGGTTGTCATTCCTCTTACCTCATTTGATCCTGGCAGAAATACATCAACTGTGGTGACTTTCGGTTCTGTGACCGGATGAACCAATAAAGCACTTCCTACAAAATGGAGAAGAAATAAAGTTGAATATCATCATAAGAGGTCTGAAAACCTTTCCCTTTAGTTGAGTGCTAGCTATTGTGGTTTTAAAGACTACTTGATAATGAATTTTGGAAAGGCAGAGACTGTGGTAATTTGGACAATGATTCATAAGAGAGATGCATTGTTAGAAAGAGGACATCTATCATTATACTATTTATGGCATACTGAGATTATAGGAAGGGACCCTGGCACAGTCCATTAGTCTCATTTTGTGCTAAACTGCTATTGTGCAAGTAGCCCGAAAGTACCCTGTTCCTCTCCAAGTGCTTCTGTGTTTGCTGAGAGTAACTAACACTGATGATGGTGAGCCCACAACTGTTATCCACAAGTGTGGGCAGTGTGGATCTTCAAGGGCTTCTTGTTTGGGAAGTTATTATCTGGAATGTTGTGGTTTTTAAAAAAGCAATCTGGATTATTAATTTTGCTTTGACCTTGGCACACACATACGTAAATTCCAACCATTTATGAATTTGCTCTTTTATTAGTAAATATTTATTTACAGAGTACCTACTGAATTCTGGGCACTGTGTTAGGCTCTAGGGATACAGAGGCCAATAAAACAAGCATGATCCCTGCCCTCATGGAGTTTAATGTCAGTGAAGATAAATATTAAAAAATAATGACAAACTGGAGTTAAATACCAAAAGAAGGAACAGTATAAAATGGAATGAAAATTACACAACGGCAGGGCCTGGCTTTGACTAGGGGCAGTAGAATTAGGTATAAGGGGATAGGTAGTAGTCGGGGAAGTTTCTCCAAAGCTATTCAATTATTCAACTGAATCCTAATGATAAGTGGAGACTTAAGGAGCTCAGGTTTTTTGTGGGTTTTTTTCCCCTTTATTTTGAGGTTTCTAATGTTAGAAATAGGATTTACTTTTTGGGCAACTCTATGTGTAACCTGGCTTCTTGGGCCCTGTTCCTAAGATGATAAAAATCTCCATATTCTGGATTTGATAGTTAATCCTTATTAAACAAGAAGTGAACCAAAGAAAAACCCCATTTTATTACATATGAAATAAGCTCTTCCGGTTCTTTACTACAACCATCTGGTCAACTTTTTTTGCTACTTCCCTTCCTTGTAGTGATCTCACAGGCTTAGATCCTGTGGACCACAGGTGGACCCAGAACAAGCATCCCAAATGACATCCAAGGGATTGATTTGAGGTTAGCAAGAAACAATACCAGGAGAAATGCTACATCACAACAGAATAGAGCTATGATCCCACCGATGCATTAGAAGTCTTGGTGAAAGAATTTATTTTAATTTTTTGGGCCTTCTTGGGGTTAAGGACTTTTAGAGGGCTCTTACTCTAGAAAACATAGTAAAAACATACTTACAGTGTGTATCATAACTATCATTAATCAAGAAATTCTCACCCAGCATGTATTCATCTTCTATACCAAAAGTTTCTAATTCATCAGGGAACTCTATCCACAGAGGCCTAGGGAAAGAAAAAAGTTCTCATTTCAACATCATCAGATGTTGCAATCCAATCCCTTACATTTTAGCTTTTTTATTTCTTTTTTAAGACAGAGTCTCACTATGTCACCCTGGGTAGAGTACCATGGCGTCACAGCTCACAGCAACCTCTAACTCTTGGACTTAAGTGATTCTCTTGCCTCAGCCTCCCAAGTAGCTGGGACTACAGGCACCTGCCACAATGCCCAGCTATTTTTTTGGTTGTAGTTGTCATTGTTGTTTGGTAGGCACAGGCTGGATTCGAACCTGCCAGCTCTGGTGTAGGTGGCTGGCACCCTAGCCACTGAGCTATAGGAACTGAGCTGCTTACATTTTAGTTTTATAGCTATTCAAGGGACATTAGAAAATGGCAAAGGGCCATGACTCTTGTTCATATGATTCAAGATTTTATGAGCAATTACTATGATTACTTCACATTTTTCTTATGTCAAAGAGCTATCTATTAACTCAAATGTTCTAATGAAATAGTGAGGATTCTTTCCTTCTAATTATTCAGTACCAAATACTACTCTAATAGGAAGAATCAGAGCTTTTGTGCAAGTCCAAAAGCCTAAACGCCTTTGGTGTAAAATAGTTTGTAAAACCACATTTTACAATAATGTTATAATCCTATGCCTGTCCTTCACTCTGACCCTGCATTTCATACATCACCTAATCATTACTGATTTAAATGAAAAGAACTGTTTTTTCTTGTTTTCAACAACATCAATATTTTTGGAGAGTTGAAAACTTTCTATGTGTTCTTTTTCTTTGGATTGTTACTGTTGTACACAACTATCTAGGAAGTATGTGGGCTCTTAAAAATAACAAAATTTTCATTATATATGTATTTAGATATCAACTTAATGGTTCTAATTATTTCTCAAGTTCATGATGAAAAGGCATTTTTTAAATAGTCATTTTTAGTTTATTCACTAGCCTTTGTAATGATATAGTCCTTTCCTACTAAATGATAACAAAGCAGTGGTCTCTAACCCTGGCTGATGTCTAGAATCAACAGGGAAACTTCTAACAAATACAGATCCCTGGGACCTATTCAAGGCAATCCCTAGCAGGTGTGGAGGTGTGGCCTTGGAATCTGGATTTTTAAAAAGCTTCCCAGGTGATTCTGATCCAAGTCAATTTTAGGAACTGCTGATCTGGAAGTCTTGGTGCATTATATGTGTATTGTTCTCTAACTTAGAAAGTTGGTTTTTCACATTTTGGCTGCAAAATAGAATTAGCATATAATTTATACACTAGGAAAAACGCTCACTTCAAACGTGGAATGGTTTAGCCTTAACGGTAGATAACATCTAAGACTGGCAGAGTAAGTTATTTTTCATGGAAGGTTAAATAGTGAGCTATTTCTTTGGAGTATCTCTATTCTGTCTCCTGTTAAATATTAATGCTTTAGTCACACAGTGGCAGGGGATCCATCTAGTTTTCATCTTCTGTGTTCACAACAGCCTGCAGCACCCTGCTCACAGTTGGCGCTAAATAAGCCAACAACTTGCTTAAGTGCATAGCTTTTCTTCCTGTCTTCTTTTAGAATCCCTGTGTAGTCACAGCATTCTCGGATCAATGGGAAGATCTTCTGTTATAGACTGGTTGCTGGGGCCCCTCAACAGATGAAGATTTTGTACCTCATGACAGGTTGGGAAGTCACGTGTGCCTGGTAGAACAGAGAATACCAATAGGGCAGGAGGGCATAGCGCTCTCTTATGGCTTCACGGATGAGCTGGGTGTGTTCCTTCCCAAACAGCCAGGGTTCCCGCCGCTTGGTATTCATGGTGGCGTGACCTCGGAAAAAGGGCTGGTAGGCTCCGGTTTGGTACCAACGTACTAGCAGCTCTGTCTCTGGATTCCCAACGAAACCACCTACATCCGCTGGTTAGGCAGAGAAAGGCCAAGTGAGGCAGCCAGGTTTTGCATCAATGATGCACACAGGTTAAATAAGGCCTTTAAGATGGACAGGAGAAAGGACCTGCACATGCACTCAAAAGGACAGAAGACTGTGGCCTCAAATGTGAGAGAACATACTCCATAACTCAGCCTGTGTGGGGATCTGACAATATGCTCTTTGGATATTCTTCCTTGTCAAAAGGTCAGAAGCTTTATTATTGCAAGATCAATATTCCTGTATATTCCTGAACCCAGATAATAGAGAAAATGCAAAATGCCTGATTAGATAAGACTCTGTGTGTGTGTCGGGGAAGGGGGCTGGCAATTGATTTCCTTTGAAAGCAACAGCTGAACTAAGATAAAAATAGAACTAAAGAGAAGCAGATAGTCAGAATTAGAGGTTTAGCTAGAATTTCATGCTGAGCCCTCAAGCTCCACTTAACACCACAAGAATATATATATATAGTGATATCAATTTGCTTCTACGCCTACAGAAAATGAGCAGCTGGAAATACAGCCATGGTGGGCACCTTCCGTATAGAGATCTTTTATCTGCAGGGAAGGCAGTCCATCAGAAAATCTTATTTTAACTAAGTTTAGCTTTTCTAAGGGCATATATTTTTGTTTAAACACAGTTAAAATATGTCATAGAATTTTAAATCTGCTGAGAAGAAAGAGTTTCTGTAAGGCTGACTTCTGGTTTGCTCAATTCTTTGTAGTTCTATTTTTCTCACGTTCAAGAAGAAAAGATATACGTCAGGAAGAGAAACTCAGTGTTCAAGAGCGCCTAAGGAGGAAGCGGTAAGAGGATAAGGGCCTCACAAGAAGCACTCTGGCTCCTTTTTCGACAATTGATTTCACGTCCTCTGTACAGACAAAGACACAAATAGCTCTGCAGTATCCCATTCATTCTCCTCTCCAATCTTCTCCCCTTCACTTTCTTGTATTTTCTCTTTCCCATATTTATCCTTCCCCAAAAACAGTAATAAGAAAGGCTTTGTGACCAGTATCAACGACAACACTCTCGCTTCAAGCCTCAGAACAGGATTCATCTTACCTCCGCAAAAAGAGATCCCGGCAATGCTGAGAGTGAGTAACATTGGGATGGAAATTTTCAGGTAACTCCACTCCGCTACGTTGTCACCTGTCCATACAGCACCTTCGGTCACCAGTAACAAGGTATTTTAAAAAATCACAAATCAGCCCATGCATTCGGTTTCATATTTAGGTTTCTTATTTGTATTGATAAAAGGCAAGTTAATAAAAAAGAAAACGCCCAAGTATTTCTTTTGTTGTTGCTGTTGTAGGTGTCATTGTTGTTTTAGCTGGGCCGGGCCGGGCCGGGTTTGAACCTGCCAACCTCGGTGTATGTGTCTGGCGCCCAACCCACTGAGCTACGGGCCCTCCCTAAAGCTGCCTAAAGCTACCATTTCAAATGGCTTCGTATCATATGGCCACACCACACTTTTGTAACTATTCCCTTATTGTCATGTGTAGGTTTCCTTCCTTCCTTCCTCCCTCCCTCCCTCCCTCTCTTCTTTCCTTCCCTTCCTCCTTCCTTCTTTCTCCCTCATTTTTTGATTTCAAGCTCTGTGATGAGCATCCCTGTACATGAATCTCTGCTTGAGATGATAATATTTTAGCCTTTTCCGGAGTACCACAGGGGCTTGTTTTCAGAGGCAGTGGGGGAGGCCTAATGACGTACACAGTAGAGTAAGGGCTGGATTCTTCAACGTAGGACCTAAGCTCTTGGTTGTTTATGCAACACCAGGAGACTTAAAATAGCCTTCCTGCCACAGGATGGTTAAGTTGAGCTAGATTTGCATTAGCTAGTAAACTTGATCCAGTTATAGATGACCCTGACCACAAGCAACAGCCAGGTCTATTTTAAGCCACATTGCTAAGTACAACAGGTGGTTAAGGGAATGTATTAGAGGTATATTTTCCTGGTTTTGATAAATCAAAGACAGGATCATAAGTGACCACCCCAGCAAACTGAAGACTTTGAATTCAACTTCCCTACAACTAAGTGGCCATTTCTTCTGTTGGAAAGAAGTATCAAACTTGATTAAAATCGCTTTGCTTGGTCTTATATGACTAATTGCATACTTCAGGGCACATCACTGCCTTTAATCAAAGGCCTGACCTAGGCTGGGCACGGTGGCTCATGCCTATAATCCCAGCACTCTGGGAGGCTGAGGCTGGCAGATGGCTTTAGCTCATGAGTTCGAGATCAGCCTGAGCTACAGCAAGACCACGCCTCTAAAAATAGCTGGGCATTGTGGCAGGTGCCTAAAGTCCCAGCTACTTGGAAGGCTGAGGCAAGAGAATCGTTTGAGCCCAGGAGTCTGAGGTTGCTGTGAGCTATGAAGCCATGGAACTCTACCAAGGAGGATAAAGTGAAACTCTGTCTCCAAAAAAAAAAAAAGGCCTGACCAATGGTTATAGAAAAGGAAGGCATCAAAACAATAGAAGCACACACCATAAACAATAAAAAAAAGAGACAGGTTGCTAAGTTGTTTTCAGTCTGATATGAGATCTTCCTTACCGTATTTTTGTGATCCAGCAAAGAAAGAACGTGTTAGAACAAAGGGTCTTTCCTTCCCTTTAGATCGTTTTATCAGTCCTTCCGCAGTAGCCATTTGCTGTAAAGTCAAAGGAGAAGAATTTCAAAGAATAACTAGACTAGGGCATCGGGCAGACATACCCAGGAAGCATCTAACATGCGAAAAGTAAATGGTAGGAAAATGTGAAATGGAAAATATTAAAATTAATCCATCAAAAAAATTCATGATTTAATGGAAATACTCTAAATTTCCATTAAAAGAATGGGAAAATTTCTTTGCTTAATAACAGCAATGAGGAAAAAAAAATACAGTAACAATGAGACCAGGTGTGGTGGCTCACACCTATAATCCCAGCACTCTGGGAGGCTGAGGCCATGGCACTCTAGCCTGGGCAACAAAATGAGATTCTGTCTCAAAAAAAAAACAATGAAATAATAGTAAACACTAAGCTAGCATTTATCTTACAATAGTAAGCATATTATAATTTTTTATAATATGAAAAACATATAATTTCATGTAATATGAATCACAACCACTTCTGAGACACATAGTTTTCATTGGTAAAAAAATTTGTGATTCAGAGAGGTTAGGTTACTGGCCTAAGCCCACATAAGAAAATTCTCTGACTAGAGCAGCTTGCAGATATTATAGTAACGGTTGTTAAGGAAGTAACACACTATCTGAAAACTGTGCTATCTCTAGCCAGTTGCTCCCATTGGAAAATAACTATTGGTGGGAGGGCCATAGGAATACAGTCATATTTTGAAAATAACAAAGAATTCATGGGTACAAATTAGGACAAATGACAGCCAAATCTTTTGGATATAATTAAAAAATAAAAGACACCACCTTTATTTAGAAGGCTAAGGACATAAGGAAGGCTTTCTACATTTAAAAAATAAATCCAGGTTCCAAATCTTGCTCCCCTGGCATGAATGTAAGACTTACTATATTTAGATATTTGTGAAATTTTAAAACATTTGGTTTAATTACTTTCGTTTACGTATTTATACACTACCTACATCAATAAAAGTTTGAAGTAGTATTAAGTGAGTGCCATTTACTCCTGGCTACTATTAAGGTAGATGTTTCTATGTTGTCATTTCAAAATATTTAAAAATTCATCAGGTTCACTGTGGAAGGCTGAGGTAGGTGGATTGCCTGAGCTCAGGAGTTCGAGACCAGACTGAGCAAAAGCAAGACCCCATCTCTACTAAAAATAGAAAAATTAACGGGGCATTGTGGTGGCTGCCTATAGCTACTCAGGAGGCTGAGCCAAGAGGATTGCTCAAGCCCAAGAGTTGAGGTTGCAGTGAGCTATGATGCCACAGCACTCTACCCAGGGCAACAGAGACTCTGACTCCAAAAAACAAAAAACAAACAAAAAAACCTTGGTTGGGTGTAGTAGCTCATGCCTGTAATCCCAGAACTTTGAGAGGCCAAGGTGAGAAGATTGATTGAAGCCTGGAGTTTGAGACAAGCCTGGGCAATGTAGTGAGATCCTCTTTAAACACACACACACACACACACACACACACACACACGACGCAGTCTTGTATAGGCTACTACCTAAGACTCATTGCCATTGTCAGAAAAGACACACAAAGAGAAATAAATGAACAGTACAGTATAGTTATTAAAAAGCAAACAACTTTTAGCCCAAAAGGCAGGTCACGCGAGTCCAGCTGCTTTCTCTTTGCACGTTTTACCTGATAAAAACCATAGATATTATGAAGTTCTCTGTGCTCCCAGTTGCCATGATGAACGGCATCCTTCTGCATGGTTTGCTCTGGCCCTCTAAAGACAGAGGGCTCATTCATGTCATTCCATATGAAGAGTATGTCTGTAGATCCCTGGGAAGTAAATCTGGGTCATGATAATATTACTACATTGATGTTTCTATGACAGCTGTCCCCACCCCCCATTCCTACCCCATTTAATATATTTACTTATTATGTTTGTTATCTATGCTCTGTCCTTTGCTCCACTGCCAGACTATAAGCTCCATAGAGCAGGGAATTTTGTCTGTTTGGGACATAATAGACACCTCGAACAGTACCTGGACCACAGAAAGTTCTTAGTAAATATTTGTTGATAATGAAAGAATGCTAAACTGTATAGTCTGTGAAATTTATATTGTCCAGTAGGTTCACTCTAAGATGCCCCTGGAGAAGCCCTATAGGAAAGCTTGTGAATGTTCACGATTAAGCTCCTTATCATCCCTCATCTACTACAACTCCAACTAAGGGCAACGATACCCACCAATGACAAGATTCTATCTTCTGATGCTTTGAAAGGCTTGACAGCTAAGACACCAGTCTGTTAGCTCGATCTATACTTTGTGTTCCACATAAAATTGTTCAATTTAGAGTGGGACGGGGCATGAGTCATCTAGTGAACATGGTGCTGAAATCCCTTTTATAGAATCCTTGGTCTTTCAGCATTTGACTGAATAGCTACCATGACAGGGAGCCCTTCACACAGTTCTTCCATTATTTTCTGAAGTCATTCCTCACCGGGCCCACCTACCTTGCCTTCTGGGACATAAGGAATACCTCTTCTGCCCCACTCGCATGATAGTCTTTCAAATACGTGGAGGTGGCTTACTTGTTTTCTTTTGATTCTCTACCTTCAATATTTCTAAACATGTGTACTTCTCTGAACAAGCCTATATGGTTTCCCAATATTTAACTGCCTTAAAGAGGTATTGGCAAATTTTTTGGGTCAAGAGCCAGATAGTAAATATTCCCAACTTTTCAGGCCACGAGGTCTCTTTTTCAATTACTGATCTCTGCCATAGTGGTGTGAAAGCAACCACAGACAACAGGAAAATGGATAGGCATGGCCAGATTTGGCCCGAGGCTTATCTATCCCTGCTGTGAGTTGTTTACCAGTAGTTGACTACAGAGTGCCCAGAAACTAGAGTTGATTAGTAAAGAGCTGGGTTTAGGAGACAGAAAGACCCAAGTTCAAAATTGATTGCATCACTTACTAAATGGGTGACCTTGGCAAGTTTTTAAACTTCCCTGTACCTCAATTTCCTCATCCTGGACCAGATTTAATTATATTCCAACCTCAGAGGGTTATTGTGAAGATAAGTCATAGACTGCACATAAAGTACTTGGCACATGCTAAGTACCAATTTGCACTAGGTATCATCACAATTGGCTGGATGACCTCCAGATGTGGTTTCTCCAGTTCTCTCTGTGGTTCTTATAATATTTTTAGCAATTGATTTGTCTTTATGCTTCAGTTTTAATGACATATTATTTGTAAGCTATTTTCACATGTAATATCACCTTTAAGTGATAGCCACAGAATTCTACCTTGTAAAACCATACATAGTCATTTGAAAATACAATAAATCTATTTTATAAAGTACTTTGATATATCACAGAGTCCATTATCCTAGAGGTCAAAATCACAGCTTTTATACACTTGGTAACATACATGACACGTCTCCCAGCACCACCAGAGTCTGTAATGTGGTGGCCATCTTTTCCTTTCCATATAAACATTATATATCAAGAGCTACGCAATGAAGCAGAACAGTTCTGTTCAATCACTTTTTCCCTTTTTTTCACACTTTCAAGTAACTAGAAAAGATCAAAAGAATTTAAACCAACCTGATAAGCAGGAAAAGCAAAAAGACTTGAATACCACTCTCTGACCTTGGGATTGGTGAAATCCAGGTAAGAGGAGAGACCTGTAGAAGCAGAATAGCAGACAGCCTGTTAGGAGCGGTGCCTCTGGGAAGATGTAAAGAGGAAGTGAGAGCTGGGAAATCAACGGCACCTTACACACAAATGAAAGCTGATAGAGGGCTGGTGTGATGCGAATAAAGGCATTGTTGGGCTACAGTGACAATCACCAGAACTTTCAACACCAGAGGGCCAGGAATGCAATGAATAAGCATCAGGATGGAGTCTGTCCCTCACTAACGGCCTAAGACAGCCCAAGGAAGAACAGCAAATATCCTATAGTGGCCCCTTGGCTCTTAAAGAGAAATGTATTCAAGTGGTATAAGGGGAAAAAAAAAGGTTCTCTATAGTGCATGGATTTATGCTAGAATGCTAGGATATAGTGCTTAATAACTTTTGAAATGAAAAATTCATACTTTCCAGAGGCTGCTCAGCTCATTCCTAAAAAACTGGGCGTCAAAAACGATGGGCAAAGAGAAATCACAAGGGAAGAACCTCTAGGACCCCCTTTTACTTTCTCCCTCTCCTCTTTTCTCATTCTCTCACTCTTCATCTCTATCTACTTAGAGAAACAGCATGCCACTGAGCTTTGGTGATTTTTCATTCATTCAATTATTGATAAATGTATACAAAGTATGTTACACTAGGTGTTATGAAAGATACAAAAGAAGGCAGTACCATATCTTCCTTAAATTAGGTGCTTCAAATGTAGCTGGAGGAGCAAGTGAGATCTACAAGAGTGAGAATGGTGGCCACACAGCCTTCTTCGCTTAGAACTGAGTAAGTGGAAACAGGAATTGTATAAAGCGATTTCATACCAGGCCAGCACACGCCTTCAAAGTCTCCCCCTTCACGGCTCCTCACAAAGAACCCCTGTTCTTTGGCCTTAGCATACACTGAGTAGTCAGGATCAATTTTGATGTGGGGGTCACTGATGACCACAAGCTGTTAGGACACAAAAGTGTGAAGACCTCATCAGTTTCTTTTTTTTTTTTTTTTTGAGACAGAGCCTCAAGCTGTCCCCCTGGGTAGAGTGCCGTGGCATTACAGCTCACAGCAACCTCCAACTCCTGGGCTCAAGCGAGTCTCTTGCCTCCGCCTCCCAAGTAGCTGGGACCACAGGCGCCCGCCACAACGCCCGGCTATTTTTTGGTTGCAGCCGTCATTGTTGTTTTGGCGGGTCCGGGCTGGGGATTCGAACCCGCCACCTTAGGTGTACGTGGCTGGTGCCTTAGCCGGTTGAGCTATAGGCGCCAAGCCGACCTCATCAGTTTCATACGAGACATATGTTCACCTACATATTCAATTACATGTTTCTGGCATAGTTGTGGGGTTCACGTTTTACTCAGAAACAACTATTAACTACCTTTTATGTGCTTATGAAAATTTCAGTTGATATCAAAACCAGGCCAATGCTTTTATAATTATTGCTGCCTAACCGATACATGTTCTTCAGACAACATTTCGTAAGCTTCTGTCCATGCTGCTGGATGTTGGAGCCAGTACATAAAGGATTACGTAGGCAGGGAGTTTGCTCCCTAGACCAGCGGTTCTCAACCTGTGCATCGTGACCCACAGGAACTGTATTAAAGGGTGGCGGCATTAGGAAGGTTGAGAACCACTGTCCTAGACATTTAGAGGTTATGACTGGAATGATACAAGCAAACATTAATGGAACAAACAGAATAACATGCTAAAAACAACTCTTATATGCGCAGTGACACAGGCGTGTTAGAAAGTAAGTTTGAGAAAAGCATCTCTCCCAGCCTTTATACCATCACTTCCACCTAGTCTGGGGCCTCAATACCACTTTATTTGGCTAGAACAACCTTTAATCCTTTTTCCTCATCTCTATTCCTTTTCTAAAAATTATCATGTTCCAGCCTGGGCATGGTGGCTCATACCTACAATCCCAGCACTCTGGGAGGTGGAAGAGGGTAGATTGCTTGAGCTCAGGAGTTCGAGACCAGTTTGAGCAATAGTGCGATCCTGTCTCTGCTAAAAACAGAAAAACTAGTCCGGCGTCGTGGCAGACTCCTGTAGTCTCAGTACTCAGGATGAGGCAAGGATATCGCTTGAGCCCAAGAGTTTGGGGTTGCTGTGAGCTAGGATGCCACAGCATTCTATCTAGGGCACAAAGTGAGACTCTGTCTCAGAAAACAAAACAAAACAAAACATGTTCCTTTTTAGAAACAGAGTCTATGCCCAGGCTGGTCTCACAATCCTGGGTTGAATTAATCCTGGCTTCTTAAGTTGCTGGGACCACAGACGTGGGCCACAGCACATGGCCCTCATCTCTATTCCTGTCCATCCTACATACTAACTAAAGTTAATTCTCCATTGCTCGGAAGCTTTTTTAAAATTTTAAATTGTGGTGAATTACACATAATGTAAGATTTACCATTTTGGCCATTTTGAAGTGTACACTTCAGTACTATTGGGTATGTACATTCACATTATTTTGCGACTGATCTCCAGAACTCTTTTCATCTTGAGAAACAAAACTCTATACCCATTAACAATAATTCTCCATTCCCTCCTTCCAGCCCCTGGCAACTACCACTCTATTTTCTATCTCTATGAATTTGACTACTTCATTTCCTTCAGATTAGTGGAATCCTATAGTATTTTGGTCTTTTTGTGACTGGTTTATTTAATTTAACAGATGTCCTCAAGGTTCATCCATATTGTAGCATGTATTAGAATGTCCTTCTGATGTTTACACCACATTTTGTTTATCTGTCCATCGACACATGGGTTGCGTCCACCTTTTGGCTACTGTGACTAGCGCTGCTGTGAACATGGGTGTGCAAATACCTGTTCAAGTTCCTGCTTTGGGTATATACCCAAAAGGAGAATTGCTGGATCATATGGTAATTCTATCTTTAATTTTTTTGAGGAACTGCCATACTATTTTCCATAGCAGCTGCATTGTTTTACATTCTGACCAACAATGCACAAATGTTCTAATTTCTCTATATCCTTGCCAGTACTCCTTGTGATTTTCTTGTTTTTTTTTTTTTTAAGTAGTAGCCACCTTAATGGTATAAAGTGGTTATTTCATTGTTGTTTTGATTTGTATTTTCCTAATATTTAGTAATGCTGAGTATCTTTTCATGTGCTGGGTTTATCTTCTTTGCAGAAATGTCTATTCCAGTTCTTAGCCCATTTTTTAATTGTTTGTGTTGTTGTTGTTGTTATTGCTGAGTTGTAGGAGTTTGTTATATATTCTGGATATTAACCCCTTATTCAAAAACTTGTAAGGTCTCCAAATGCATAGAAAGCAGTCTATGAAAAGGTCCCAACCTTTCCAGTCAGATCCCCCATTATTTAAACCTTCACACACCTGTTTTTTTGCCAAATGATCTGGTGCACTGTTTCCAAACACCCTGTGATGCTACATCCTCTGGCTGCATTGCCCTCTCCTCCCATCCCCAGCTTCCCTACTAGTTAGAGACCCCTCCTTTAAAGCTCATCTTAAGTGCACCTCCAGGACATCATCAGGACTCTAGGAAGTTGCACATGGATATCAAATGTCTAACATTGGCAAAGAACAAATTCAGAGGGCAGAAGTCCAGTAATGTATTTCACATAGCCAGCCAAAAAAACTTCAAGGCTACAAACAAAGCAAAACCAGTTACCACTTATTCTTAAGAAGATAAATGTTACGAATGATGAAAAAGTTAACAGAGTAAATAAAGCTTTCGTAAATGTAGAAAAGGAATGTGCACACTTATCAAAAGACCTTTCTCTTGAACCTGTGCAGAAAGAATTGATTCCTGTGGCATCATGAAAGTGAACTACTTAATGTTGATGAAGCTACAAGATTAATGGCTCGGCTGTGATAAGGTGGTGATGCACCTAATTCCCCCCAAAAGACCAATAAATTACATGTTTTATATAAAAATAAATAAATAAAATAAAGTGTGGTAAAGTCCCTGTTGTCGTTGTGCCCCTCACCCTGGAGATGTGTCATATACCTTTACCTCGTGCCCATTAGGTGGGGACACAATAATTGCCCCCTCTTCTCCTCTCTCCCTTCTCTCCTCCCCCATTTCCCCACTGGAATTTAATTGTGTTATTCTCTTATGACCATCTTTTCAGCATTCATGTGCTCTGTTATTCCAGGTGCAATTACACTGGAAGGTACTATTTTCCGGCCATTTGCTATCAGATGGTTTTCCTCCACTAATGTGCCAGGGTGGGTTCAAAAAATTTTGAAAAGCTTTGCAGTTAACAGGTTCAGAAGTGTTCGCTTATTTTACCTTGCGTCCTTTGCTCCTGAGCAGCTCTTGCATCCTTTTGGGGTTTGGGAATCTTTCTTTGTCCCAGGTAAAGTACCTCTTCCCCTCGGTGTGCTCTATGTCCAACCACATGACATCGTAAGGAATATCATGCTCATCAAATCCTGCATCCACTGCTTTCACATCCTGCTCGTCTTCATAGTTCCAGCGGCACTGATGGTACCCCAGGGAAAAGAGAGGGGGCATGGCTTGGGCGCCTAAAAGAGGAAGATGACAACTGAGTCACCTGTCACCATGATAATCATTACTTGTTTAATAAGCATTTCCTGAACATCTACAGGCAGCTTTGTACTTAAAATATCAAGGAGGAGAAAGTGCAGGCCCAGCTGTGGAAGAAGTGACAATTTGGCTGATGAGACCAGCATATAAATAAACTGCTCTGCCGAGAGTTATGACTGCTAGTGTGATCGGAGGTTAATACATTCTGACTGCCTGAACAGTGGACTGATGAAAAGCTTCACAGAAGAGTTAACGCTTGGTTTGGGCCTCGATGAATAAGTAGGAGTATAACATAGAGTTAGTAGGAAGAAGAGATAGAGCATTTCAGGCACAGGGAATAGACAAGACGCAGAGGCAGAGATGTACATAACAGGCTTTTTAAACATTAAAAATAAACATCCAGGGTGTCACAGAGTGAGAGAGACCAGCAGAAGAAAAATGCACACAGAGGCGGCACCCGTAGCTCAGTTGGCAGGGCACCGTCCACATACACCGGTGGTGGTGGGTTCGAACTTGACCCAGGCCTGCTAACCAACGACAACTGCAACTAAAAAATAGCCCGCGTTGTGGTGGGCGCCTATAGTCCTAGCTACTTCAGAGGCTGAGGCAAGAGAATCGCTTAAGCCCAAGAATTTGAGGTTGCTGTGAGCTGTGATGCCACGGCATCTATGGAGGGCAATAAAGTGAGACTCTGTCTCAGAAAAAAAAAAAAAAGAAGGATTGTCAGGAAATTATCATCAAAATGTTTACTGATACATACAGGAAGGACTTCAGGTCAGCCACATGCATTTACCTCCTTCTCCTAAAGTCAAGAAGAAAAGAAAAGAAAATCAAGAAGAAAAGAAAAAGGGGCTGGGCAAGGTGGCTCACATTGTAATTCTAGCATTTTGGGAGGCTGAGGTGGGAAGACCTCTTGCGCTCAGGCGTTTAAGACCAGCCTGAGCTTGAGTGAGACCCCATCTCCAAAATACAGAAAAATTCACTGGGCCTTGTGGTGGGCACCCAGCTACTCGAGAGGCTGAGGCAGGAGAAGCGTTTGAGCCCAGGAGTTTGAGGTTGCTGTGCACTATGATGGTGTCATGGCATGTTAGTCAGGGCAACAGAGCGGAAAAAAAAAAAAAAAAAAAAAAGAAAAGAAAAGAAAAAAAGGAAAAGAAAAGAAAAAAGGAATAAAGCCACAAAATTGCAGGGGAAGGGATGGGAAACAACTGAGCAAAGCCTAGGATTTCAGATTTTTTTGATTTTGGGATATTTGCCTAATACTAACTGGTTGAAACTCAGTCTTTTTCTCTTAAGACTTTCAACTGATTAAACTCAAAGCCTACTCATTTAAATGTTAATTATATCTAAAAATATCTTAACAGTGACATCTAGACTGGTATTTAACTAAATATCTGGTTACCATGGCCTCGCCAAGTTGACACAATTAGCTATTACACGGGGTCATATGGTAATTCCACATTTAACTTTTTTAGGTATACCTGTTTCCACAGTGGTTGAACCATTTTACATTTCTACCAGTAATGTATGAGGTTCTAATTTCTCCACATCTCATCAAACTTAACATTTTCCATTTTCGTGATTTAGCTATCCTAGTGAATGTGAAGTAGCATCTCACCGCGGTTTTGATTTACATTCTCTTAATTATTATTATTATTATTATTTTTTTTTTTGAGACAGAGCCTCAAGCTGTCCCCCTGGGTAGAGTGCCGTGGCATTACAGCTCACAGCAACCTCCAACTCCTGGGCTCAAGCGAGTCTCCTGCCTCCACCTCCCAAGTAGCTGGGACTACAGGCGCCCGCCACAACGCCCGGCTATTTTTTGGTTGCAGCCGTCATTGTTGTTTTGGCGGGTCCGGGCTGGGGATTCAAACCCGCCACCTTAGGTGTATGTGGCTGGCGCCTTAGCCGGTTGAGCTATAGGCGCCGAGCCCATTCTCTTAATTATTAATGATGTCGAGAATCTTTTTGTGTGCTTGTCGTCTGTGTATATATTTTCTTTGGAGAAATGTCCATTCAAGTCTTTTGCTCATTTTAGAATTGAGTTGTGTCTTTTTGCTGTTGTTTTCTTTTTGAAAGATTTGGCAATGTTGTTTCTTCCTTCCATTTCCATTTTTATAGAGTAGATGGAGATTTGCTTAGAAGAAAGCTGATTTTAAGAGCACGAAAAAGTCAAGCACAAAAGATAGTATTACATTCAGCCATCCAGAGTTAGGGAGGATTAGGGAGGGTAAAGGATACTGAGTAGGCCCCTTGACAGAAAACTGATCACCTAGTAGTCAGAGGCTGAAGTCCCACATGGGAATTGCAAAAGGAAGAACAGTAACAGTTTAGTGCTTTCTATTTAAAATTCTTGGGTAAGTTGTTTATAAATTCCACATAATGAGCAAAAGATATTAACTAACAGGGATGATATATGGGAGAGAGGATATGTAACAATTAGAAAAAATATATAACAGAACTAGAAACTGGTGCTTCCACAAGCAAATACCTGTAAGGTGAGAGTACTGCTTGAAGATGTCAGAAGGTGTAGGTCCTGTCAGCAGAAAAACATCAATGATTCCACTCTCTGACATCCAGTGGACGTGAGTTCGAGATCTGACCTTTTGCTTAGCAGCCACTGAACCCATCTGGGTCTGTGAATACTGGAAAAGGAATGGAATAAAATTTTGAGAAATTTCCCTCCAACCTAAGACCTACATCCATTCATATGCAAGTTCTTTTAGTGGACACTACTGACATTTACCTATTACACTTCAAAGCCCTTGGTGGCAGAGAACTGCCACCACGAAGACAAGAGTTGTGCTTACACAGCAGTGGTTATGTTTCCTCTGTAAGTGTGACATGCAGCCACGATCCATAGCTCACCTCTACTGCAGGCTCTGTATTGATTTCCACTAGTGTTTCTGAGGCATTCAGCCAGAAAATGCCTATAGTCCTGCCCAGTTTGTGGGCCAGGAGATAAGGTATTGAACCATAAATGCCCATTTTGTCATGTATTTTATATCCATAGACATCCAGGTTATAAAGACGGTAAGCATCTCCATCACTGAAACACAGAAGGGATTATCACTGACTGTCATTGTGCATGTATTACCGACAAACAGAATAGCTCCAACTCTCCCCTGAAAACACTTAGGTCCTATGCAGCTTTCAATGCACAACTCTGCGACTTCTCTAAGGTTTTCCTGACCCAACCTGGGTGAATGTGATTCTCCTCCTTTAATTCCTTACCCCTACCTGAGAAAATTGGCATGTATGATCTCACCTTAGATTTCTTTTCTTTCCTGTTTTTTTGAGACAGACTCTCACTCTGTCACTGTGGGTAGACTGCCATGGCATCATAGTCCACAGCAACCTTAGTCTCTTGGGCTCAGGCGATCCTGTTGCCTCAGCCTCCCAAGAAGCTGGGACTATAGGCACCTGCCACAGTGCCCAGCTAGTTTTTCTATTTTTGGTAGAGACAGGGGTCTCTCTCTTGCTCAGGTTGGTCTCCAACGGGTGGGCTCAAGTGATCTGCCTGCCTCAGTATCCCAGGGTGCTAGGATTACAGGGGTGAGTCACCATGCCTGGCCCCATTGACAAATTTTGTGAGTGTTTCTCTACAGCTACAACAAAAGGATAGTGTCCTAACAGACTTCCACGGTGCATAGCAGGGAGACAGCGGCAACCGAATTGGGAGTGGGGAGCACAGAGGCCTGGCTGGTGTGAGAGCAGCACAGTTTCTGACAGACTTGTCACTATGCTGGCCCGTCAAGTGAACAGCTCCTGAACCTGGCAAGCTTCATTAGACTCTGGTTTTCTTTGGTTTTGTTTCCTTTTCATCTGGTACTTCTGACAACTATTTATCAACAACTTTAGTCTGAAATAGTTTTCCTGAGATTGTTGAAAGTGACATGAGATGCCACACTTTTCCATTCTCCGGCTCGCTGTCCCCTTTCAGTGAAAGCCTTTTTCTAGGTCAGTGATTTTTCACAGTATATTCTCCCAGGGTTCTGGAAAGGAGGTGAAAGCAAAATCCAGAGATAAAGATCTCTCCCTGCTTATATCCCTGCAGCTCCACATTTTTCCTTCCTCTGTCCTTTTAGGTTCAGTATTACAGTCTTTTATAATTGTCTCCTTTTACCAAAAAATAAAAATAAAAGTTGAAAGCCACTGCTCTGGGTGATCCTTCAAGGAAGTTCTTGGAGAGTCACAAGCAGTATCAAGGACAAAAGGCTTGGCACCACACATTAGGATTGGCTCAGACATCTCACAAAAGTTCTTTCATATCTTTTCAAGCCAGAAACTAGAGCCTCTTGTACGAATTGTTTTCACTTACCCAGTATTTTTTTTTTTTTTTCTTGAATGGTAACTATGTACATTAATGCACTTCTGGGGTACAGTGTGGGGTTTTCACATGCAATCTGAAATACTTCCATCAAACTGGTCAACACAGCCTTCATGTCATTTTCTCAGTTATTGCTTTAAAACGTTCACATTCTACTCTTAGAAAGATTCACCTGTACCCCTATAAGGTAAACCTCAGAAGTAATCCCTCCAAACCCCCTCCCTCCACCCATTCCCCCCTCCCTTCTCCCTTCCCCTCCCCATATTCTTAGGCTATTTGGTTATAGCTTTCATATAAAAAGGTTTAAATTAGTTTCATAATAGGGGTGTGTACATTGGATACTTTTTCCTCCATTCTTGTGATACTTTGCTCAGAAGAACATTCTCCAGCTCCATCCATGTGAACATGAAGGATGTACTTACCCAGTATTTTTAAGTTGGTGTGATTCTGCATGCTGTGGGATCCCATATAGATGCTCAAATCCATGCAAGGAGAAATCCAAACCAATGGAGGTTGGACCTGCAGAGACCGGGATACTGATTGAATTTTGCTTGTGAATAGCTTAATTAATTAAAGATCAGTTAACTATGAGTGTAGCAAGATGACTAAACTAGGAGTTACAAGGCCCAAGCATATTCCAATCAACAAACACTGTGTACTGACTCCGTATATTCAGGTGTTGTGGGGATACAAAAACGTATAAGGCAAAGTTGTTATTTATTACTTATGTTGCCTTAGTTGTGTGCTGAAGCTCTCAGTATCCTCATTTATAGTAAGTCTCTTTTCTACCTGTAAAATATGGTTACAAGTGTTAGAGTCTTCCCTAATCAACATACTGCTAAGATATATTGCATATGTCTTTGTCTTAGGAAGTAAAGGATATTGAGCACTTTTAATCGCCATTCGATGAATGACTGGGTGTCTCCCACCTGATCACTTTTTTTTTTTTTTGCAGTTTTTGGCCAGGGCCAGGTTTGAACACATCCTGTATATGGGGCCGGCGCCCTACTCCTTTGAGCCACAGGTGCCGCCCATGATCACTTTTTTTTTTTTTTTGAGACAGAGTCTGGCTCTATTGCCTGGGCTAGAGTACCATGGCCTCACCCTAGCTCACAGCAACCTCAAAGTCCTGGGTTCAAGCAATCCTCCTGTATCAGCTTCGTGAGTAGCTTGGTACTATAGGCGTGTGCCATCACACCCAGCTATTTTTTCTGTTTTTAGTAGACATGGTCCTCTGTTAGCTCAGGCTTGTCTGGAACCCCTAAAGCTCAAGCAATCCGGCTGGATCGGCCTCCCCAAACTGCTAGGATTACAGGCCTGAGCCACTGTGCCTGGCCCCAGTCACTTCTTACTGCCAGCTCATCTGTGACTGTCTAGGGAACATAACGTCAAGGGCACCAGTCAGGCCTTACCTGGCTTCTGAAAATACTCCTCCCCTGTGACAAAATGTATATATAAATTTCCTTTAGCCAAAGAGACAAATTCCTTTATTAACAATTATTTTAGAGCTATGAAAAAATGCAAGTAATTAGGAGATATAATATGGACTAAATTTATGGTTAATATTTGACATCAAATGATCCTTGTTTGTAGAAGTTTGTGGAAAGGGGTGCTACAAATCAAAACCAGCTTATCACTTAAGCTCAGTGAGAATGGCGCACATTACAAAGTCCCAAAGCAACAGTTGCTGGCGTGGGTACAGAGAGAAGGGAACACTCATACACTGTTGGTGGGACTGCAAACTAGTACAGCTTCTATGGAAACAAGTATGGAGAATCTTCAAAGAACTAAAAGTATGCTATCCTAGCACTCTGGGAGGCCGAAGTGGGAGTATTTCCTGAGCTCACAGGTTCGAGACCAGCCTGAGTAAGTGCGAGACCCTGTCTCTAAAAAAAATATTTGGGCATTGTAGTGGGTGCCTGTAGTCCCAGCTTCTCAGGAGGCTGAGACAAGAGAATTGCTTGAGGTTGCTGTGAGCTATGATGCCACTGCACTCTACCAAGGGTGACAAAGTGAGACTCTGTCTCTAAATAAATAAATAAAAGTAGACCTACCATTTGGCCTGCTACTAGGCATTTACCCAAACAAAAAGACATTTTACCACAGGGACATTGCACTAGAATGTTCATAGCCATTTAGTTCACAAGCACACAGATGTGGAAACAACCCAAGTGCCCATCAACACATGACTGGATTAATAAACCATGGCATATGTGTACCATGGAATGCTATTCATCTCTTAAAAAAGTGGGAATTTTGCATCCTTTGTAACAACCTGGATGGATTCGGAGAACATTCTCTTAAGTATCACAAGATTGGAAAAACAAGCATCACGTGTACTCAATACCAGTTTGAAATTAGGAGACTGACAATTACAGACCCACAAGAGAGAAAAGCTCAATTACATTCAAGAAGAGGGAGGGGGAAGGGGGACTCAGTGGCTTCCCACCCAATGGATTCAACGCATGGATATGTATTGAATTCATTTTGTATTCAACTGTATTCAACCCAGGATACTCACACTTCCTGGGTACAGGACACCACTACAACTCTGATTTTTACCTGTCACCTGTAAATTATATAAACTAATGGTCTGTACCTTAATATTAATCAGAAATCTTAAAAGAACGAAACCCCCCAAACAGAAAAGGGGTGCTACAGGGAAATTTTAAAAATATTATGATATTACAGAAAGGAAAGTCTGAGATCCTCCCCTACTTATAAATTTTGGGGATTCTGTCAGCTCTGATCACTGCACTATGCTGCGGATATAGATGCCAAAGGAGTTAGAGAGTTTGTTATTCTGCAGGGTAGGGAGGAGTAAGGAGGAAAGTTGAGTGTTTCTCTAACAAAATAAGTCCCAAGTATCTGAAGGTATCTCCTAAAGAGACAAACTGTTCTCCCAACCCCCAATCACTAAGTCTAGTGACAAACGTCACAGATGGGCATGTGGTACCCATGTGAATGATGAGGCCTGGAAATGGCTCAGAACCCCTGGCTTGGAATGTTGGGGCTGATGAACTCTAGAATTTGGTTTCTCGCTTATTATAAAAACAGAACATGGAATTTGTATTATCTGATCTACTGGATGTCACAAGCAGTGTGCTGACCACGCCCTCTGTGAGACCACAGGATCCAGGAGGCCTGAACTTCTCTCACACTCCCCACAAAAAACATGATTGATATTTCTCTGTGTCAATGTATTATTGAAGAAGAGGAGACTCAAATCTGAGGTTGCTGTTCACCTTACCAAAGTCACTTGTTTTAGGTGCCAAAGATCAAGGGACTTTTAGATAGAGATATTTAGCATTTTGGAATGATCTGTTTTAATACTAGTACCAGTTTCAATTTTACCATTAGCTTTGACATCCACAAAATTTCCACATTTCTCTTCCCACAGGCCTAGATTCTCTTGATTTTCCTGTTGGTACAAAAAAGGGAGAAAACTGAGTTTATAAATTACAGCAAATGTGGTTACCAGGATAGCATCTTTTACTTGGATTGTTAAAAAAACAAAACAGAGCACCTGAGTTCATCCTTTAGAAGATCGGTTTGTGATGTCAGCACATTTAACAAATCAAATCTTATGTTCTATATAAATGTCAGCAAACATCCTTATGAACCACTGCTCGCATGAGTATATATTTTTATAGTGGTTATGTTATTATGTTGATATACACAACATAAAGTTTACCATTTTAACCATTTTCAAGTATACAGTTCAGTGGCAGCAAGTACATCATCTGATTGTGCAACCATCATCCATCTCTAGAAGTTTATCATCTTCCCAAATCAAACCTCCCTTCCCATTAAACAACGGTTCCCCATTTCCCCCTTTCCCCATCCCTGGCAACTCCATTCTACTTTCTCTCTGTATGAATCTGAGTATGAATTTTACATAGAAGTGGAATCATATAGTATTTGTCCTTTGTGCCTGGCTTATTTCACTTCTCAAGTTTCATCTTTTTTGTAGCATCTATCAGAATTTTCTTCCTTTTTAAGGCTGAATAATATTCCATTATGTGTGTGTGTATACACACACACACTACATTTTATTTATGCATTCATCTGTCAATGACCACACGGTTGCTTCCACCTTTTGGCTACTATGAATAATGCTGCTAGGAACATGGGAGTGTGAATATCTGAGTCCTTGCCTTCACTTTTGGGTATATACCCAAAAGTGGAATTGCTGGATCATATTTTATTCTATGTTTAGTTCTTTGAGAAACTGTTATATTCTTTGACATAAATTTACATCAACCAAAATGATGTAAAAAGCACTTTGAAAAAATTCAGTCTTTGGAAATGTAAGAATTAAAGTTTTTTTTTTTCTTGTAAACATGTGAGGCAAAACATTTAGAATCAAATAACTTAGGTCTGCTTTGAGAGACCCTATGCAGAGACAAGCACTTTCACCCTTTTCAATTAGGCAATCTACTGGCGATAGTCTTATGCTAGTTTGAGGAGTCAGCTGGGACAGCAATAACTGCTCAGATCCATACATAAAACCTTCTTTTGAACTATAAACCTTCTCAGCTCTACAAAAATCTTCTTTCCCCAATGGAATAAAATGTGTTTTTTTTTAAAAATTGTGTGTATGAAATGTATTTTTCTTTTAAATAAGTTCCTTGTCCATTTCTATGTTGTCTTTCTATAATTAAACTTTTTGTAAAGCATGCCTGCACGTGTTTTTTCACACCTGAATACTTAATGCAGAGGTTATTATCTTGGGGACCACAGATCAGCTTAAGAGTTCATTTACTCCCTCAAACAGGTAGAAAAATTTTAATTGTCCCCAACATGGTCATAATTTTCATTAGATTCTTGCAAAGGGGTCTGTGCCTTAAAACTACTACCTAAGCTATATAATTAGCCATCTCCCAAAAGCTGATTTGACTATCGTCACCAAACTGTGTAAGATGATATGCCTTAGTTGCCATTATCTACTCTATTTGGGAATGGAAAAATGACCCTTTCTTAAGTTTATCAATGTGCGCCAGTTCCCAAAAGGAAGAAGCATTTGCCCTTAATGCACTGAAAATATTTTTCACCATTTCAAGTGGCCATAGCTACCGTCAGGGCTCCTTTGAAGATACTTGTGGCTCTGGATGAAGACAAGACTTCTGTAGTGTCCATACTTCATAATTCAGCAAAATAATCTTTTAAAAACAGAAATAATACCATGTGCCTCTGCTGCTTAGAGCCTTTCCACAGTCTTCCTTTGCTTTTAGGACAGACTCAGAAGACAGTATGGCTGGGAAGGTAAGTCCCATGACAAATGGGGGACTTAGATTTTTTTCAGTGATGTACCACCAAATCTTTGGACAGTGCCTAGCACACAGGATGCATTCAACAAGTATTTGTCAAATTAGAGAATTATTATGTCTCTCCACAGAACTGCCTACTTGTCTAGCCTTGTTACACGCCAACCACCCTTTCCTTTGCTTGCCTTTCTCCAGCTAGAAGGAATACATACTGTATGCATATTCCATTTCTTCAGATCTCTTCCTTTCTACCTCAAAATCTGTGAATATGCAGTCCCCTCTAGCTGGAATATTCTTTCTCCAACTTTTTGACCAGCTAATGCATACGAATGCACCAGGTTTAGCTTTAACAGTATTTCCTTCTGAAGGTCTTTCCTGATCCTCACTGTGGCCCAGTTTTCTGCTGCATTCTCTGATAGCACCCTTTTATAACACTGTTCAGGCTTGTAATTATTGACTCAATGTGTGTCTTTCCCAATAGGTTCCAAATTCCGTGAGAACAGGTTTGGGATTTGTTTTATTCAAGGCCAATTATCCTTGCCTAGCATAATGCCTGGTAAAAAGCAGTGACCCAGGAAGGATCTGTTTTTATGAATGAATGAACACATGAATGAAAAAATGAAAGAATCAATGAGATGATAGGTGAGCAAAAGAATCAGGTGGTCCCATTTATATGTAGTAGGGTCATTTAACAAGTACCCTCTGTAGAGGGAATAAACACAATTCTCTATATGCTCTATAATTATGAGGATGGTGAAGAAGATAATGATAAATTGCTGAATCTAGATTACCTGAGAGGTGTCAATTGATGCATCCTTCTCATTTTCTTTAGCAGCTCTATTTGAATATAAATAAAGTTGTTTCACTTTATGGAAAGACTGACAAGATGTTATTCAATGATAAAAAATTTTCTTTTTTATTGTTGGGGATTCATTGAGGGTACATAGAACCAGGTTACATTGATTGCTTTTGTTAGATATGGACCCTCTTATATTTGTGTCCCACCCCGCCAAAGGTGTACTACAGCCCTTGACCCCCACCCCTCCCTCTTTCCCTATTCAGCTCTCCCCCCTGTGTACTAGGAACTTAATTATTCTAAAAATTGATAAAAATTTTCATTTCCAACTTTTGAGACCCCATAAATCATATCCTTTAACTTACTAAATACAACATAGTCTAAAAATAAAAACGAGTTTATGAAATGGCAACTTAAGGATGAACATTAATCTAAGAGCTTGACTTCCTAAAAAATAAACATGTATTTGAATTGTTAACCCATTTAAAAATACCTTTATCAACTTTTTATCATAAATGTAATATACCCTCATAATATCCCAACAAAATGTAAGTACACAGTAGAATCTAGCTCCCCTCACTCAGCTTCACCCTAGAACACAGCAATATAACATACAGTTTTCCAGAGTGAAGATGGTAATTCTTCCACTCACATTTGCATTTGAGGGCTCATTTCCCCCACATTCTTAACTCTGGACTTTACCAATCTTTGCCCATCTAAAATTTTAGAAAAACTAATGCATTTCCATGTGTATTTCTACAATTGGTGCAGACTACCTTTTCATCCATTAAATGGCACTTCTGTTTCTTCCTCTGGGAATTGGTTATTTTTACTCATACATTTATTTTTGTCTTCAATGTAAAATACAGCATGCATATGAGAGAGGATATAATGTGTAAGCAGAGTTTAAAGATTAATACTAAAGTGAATAACTATTAAACTATCACTGAGCTTACGTGACATAAATGACTTGTTTCTTTAAAGTCTCTATGTTCCAGAAATTGAAATACATCTGCCTCCTTCTCTCACCCTTCAGAGGTAGCCACTTTACTAATTTGTATTTATCATCCTCTTAGTGTTTTTTATAGCATTCCCACACATGTATGAATCTTAAATCATATCTTACTTGTTTTTGCCTTTCTTTTATAAAAATCTTTTATGTAAATAGAAGTATACTGTCTGTATTCTTTTGTGATTTTAAAAAATATTTTATTTATTTATTTTTGAGACAGAGTCTCATTAGCCCTCGGTGGAGTACTCTGGCATCACAGCTCACAGCAACCTCAAACTCTTGGGCTCAAGAGATACTCTTGCCTTAGCCTCTTGAAAGCTGGCACTTTAGGCACCCGCCACAGTGCCGGGCAATGTATGGCTCAGGCTGGTCTCAAACTCCTGAGCTCAGGCAATCCATTCTCCTAGAGTGCTAGGATTATAGATGTGAGCCACCATGCCCAGCCTGGCCCTTCAGTTTTTGTCATATTAATATAATTATAAAAATATTGTTCTATATTTTCTCCTATTTCTATGTTTTCTTATGTTTAATTTTTATTCATCTAGAATTTATTCTTGTTAGTGTTGTGAGGTTGGGATCTAACTTAAAGTTTTTTTCCAGTTGGATAATCTGGTTTTCCTAACACAAATATAAGTATAAATGTAAATGGCAGAAATAACAAACTAGTACAATCTCTATGGAAAGCAATTTGGTAAAATCTATTACAATTATAAAGGCAGAAACCATTGAACAGCAACTATATTTTTAAGGCTCCATCCTATGGATAGACTTGCATAACTGCAAATGACACACCTTCGAGCTTATTCATAAAGTAATTAGATGTAAAACAAGATTAGAAACCACTTTAAAGTCCATGAATATGGGACTTACTCAATAAATCATGTTGCAATCATACAGGGTGCTCATAAAGTTCATGTGCAATTTAAAATAGGTACCTAATAGTAATGAGGCAGCTGCTTTAAAGAAATTCAGAACTATCACATTGTTTTAAAAAAAAAAAAAAGGTACAGAATGATGTGTAAAGGTGGCACCAATTGTGTCAGGAAAGGAAAAGACAAAGATTATATATATATAATGTAGAGGCACAAATTGTCTCTGAAAGGATACACAAAAAACTGTTAACACTGGTTACTTTCAAGGATGGGAACTGGGTAGCCAGAGGACTACTCCTTTGTACCATATGCCTAGTCTAAATAAATAAATAACATAGAAAGATAGATAAAGTAAAGAGGACCAGCTTAGATATCACTATTGAAAGAAAACAAAATAATGGAATTTATAAAATAAAAAAAAGGTTTAAAATATAAAGAACCCGGGTACTGGGTACACAGGTATTTATTCTGCTATTATTAGTATTTTTCAGTAAAAATAAAAGTACTTAAAGAATATTTATAAGGCAGTAGGTGGTGGGACTGTGGGTATTTTAAATTGTCTTCCTTTTAGTATCATCTAACTTGCCTACAATGAACAAATATTAGCTCTATTAGGTTTTTTTTTTTTTTTTGAGAGAGAGAGTCTTATTATGTTGCCCTCAGTAGACTGCCATGGCATCACAGCTCACAGCAACCTCAAACTCTTGGGCATAAGCAATTCTCTTGCCTCAGCCTCCCAAGTAGCTGGGACTACAGGTGCCCACCACAACATCTGGCTATTTTATTTATTTTTTGGTAGCTGTTGTTGTTTAGCAGGCCAGGACCGGGTTCGAACCCGCCAGCCCTGGTGTATGTGGCCAGTGCCCTAACCACTGAGCAATGGGGGCCAAGCCAGCTCTATTATTACTGAGATAAGAAAATGAGATTTTTTTTTTTTTTTTGGAAATAGAGTCTCATTCTATTGTCCCAGGTTACAGAGCCATGGCATCAGCTTAGCTCACAGCAGCCTCAGATTACTGAGTTCAAGCAATTCTCCTGCTTCAGCCTCCCAAGTAGCTGGGGTATAGGCGCCCACCTCAACACCCAGCTAATTTTTTAATTTTTAGTAGAGAAGGGGGTTTCACTCTTGCTCAGGCTGGTCTTGAATTGAGCTTAAGCGATCCATCTTGGCCTCCCAGAGTACTAGAATTACAGGGATGAGCCACTGTACCCAGCTGAAAATCAGATATCTTAATATATATATTTTTTGAGACAGAGCCTCAAGCGGTCCCCCTGGGTAGAGTGCTGTGGCATCACAGCTCACAGCAACCTCCAACTCCTGGGCTCAAGTGAGTCTCCTGCCTTAGCCTCCCAAGTAGCTGGGACCACAAGCGCCTGCTACAACGCCCGGCTATTTTTGGTTGCAGCCGCCATTGTTGTTTTGGTAGGCCTGGGCTGGATTCGAACCCGCCATCTTAGGTATATGTGGCCGGTGCCTTAGCCACTTGAGCCACAGGTGCCAAGCCGGATATCTTAATATTGAAATTTTAAAATAGAAATAAGTTAAAACTCACAAAAAAAGCACTATGTTGGAATAATGAATGTTGAATGTTTCCAGTTTTTTGTGTACCCTTTCAGAGACTATATATTATAATATGTTCATATTATAATTCCAGTGTTTCCAGTTTTTTGTGTATCCTTTCAGAAACTATATATTATAATATGTTCCCTATTATGATAAAAATAGAACTATAGACTGGAAGATGTAAAAACAATATTGATAAAAATGCAAGAAGAATCTCCTCCTTAGCACCACCTCCCAACTCATGTGACCACTCTATAAACAATTTTGATCAAATGGATGGTCCCAGAAAATTCCGGGACAACTATTAATCTCTAAGGTAATTCATGTTTTTGTAAGGAAGTAAATGAAATTATCAAGGCACACTAGCTAACATTAACATTTGCCAAGTCAACAGAATGATTTTTATTTATTTTATCTTTTATTTTTTGAGACGGAGTCTCACTTTGTCACCCTCAGGACAGTGCTCTGTCGTCATAACTCACAGCAACCTCAAACTCTTGGGCTCAAGTGATTCTTTTGCCTCAGACTCCTAAGTAGCTGGCACCTGGCCAAACATAATGCTTTTTAGAAAAGTGTAGAGGTTAGAGAATGCCGCTGCCACACATAGGACATGTTAAGAGTTCTGGGTGTGGTGGCTCATACCTATAATCCTAGCACTCTGGGAGGCCTATGCAGGTGGATCACTTGAGCTCAGGAGTTTGAGACCAGCCTGAGCAAGAGTGAGACCCCATCTCTAAAACTGATTGGGTGTGGTGATGGGCACCTGTAGTCCATCTACTTGGGAGGCTGAAATAAGAGGATTGCTTGAGCCCAAGAGTTTGAGGTTGCTGTGAGCTATAATGCTGTGGCACTCAACCCCAGGGCCACTGAGTGAGACTCTCTCAAAAATAAAAATAAAAATAAAAATAGGACATGTTAGGAGGGTAACATGTGGACTGGGAGCGGTGGCTCATACCTGTAATCCTAGCACTCTGGGAGGCTGAGGTGGGAGGATTGCTGGAGCTCACAGGTACAAAACTAGCCTGAGTCAGAGTGAGGCCTCATCTCTAAAAAAAAAATAGCCAGGCATTGTGGCAGGTGCCTGTAGTCCCAGCTACTTGGGAAGCTGAAGCAAGAGAATCGCTTGAGCCCAAGAGTTTGAGGTTACTGTGAGCTGAGATGCCATGGTGGCACTCTACCAAGGGTGACAATGTGATACTCTGTCTCAAAAATAGAAAAAGAGGGTAACATATATAAAAGTTTGGGAATCCTTCTCATTATAAACCCTATATTCACCTTCACAGATGAAAAGATGAAATTTTTCAGAATATTATAGTACATAAGGCAAACCAATTTTCTATCATGATCTGTTCAGGCATTTTGTATTCACAAGCAGGTTTTTCTTAAGATTGTTATGTATTGAGTAATGTGCAGAAATACCTTTGTTTATGACGAATTTGCAGGTGCTCAAAGTACAACTGACTCTGGGAATTGATGCTCAACACAGTGTCTTCTTCAGACACTAGGTCTACCTTGAATGGATTTGCTGTGATGTGACACTTCAGGTCTCCTTTTCCGGCTGTCAATACTAGATTTCCTGTATCCCCAGAGCATGAATTCAGTCTACAAAACAAACCAGGAAGAGAAAAATAAATTGCCATAAGATTACATGGCTCTATGTGATTTGCAATTCCAAGTACTTAACTAGTAAATCAATGTTAATGTGGCACAACGTAGATAAGCTAGTAGAGAACCTTTAATGAGAACATGGGCTTTGGTGTCAACTAGGGTTGAGCATAACTCTACCAGGTACTTTTTTTTTTTTGAGACAGAGTTTCACTATGTTACCCTCAGTAGAATGCTGTGGCCTCATAGCTCACAACAACCTCAAACTCTTGGGCTTAAGTGATTCTCTTGCCTCAGCCTCCCAAGCAGCTGGGACTACAGATGCCCACCACAATGCCTGGCTATTTTTTTGTAGTAGATGTCATTGTTGTTTAGCAGGCCCAGGCTGGATTTCAACTCGCCAGCTCCAGGGTATGTGGCTGGCACCCTAGTGGCTGATCTACAGATGCCGAGCTAACTCTACCCATATACTTTATCACTTTGGATAACAAAGTTATCCAACCTTTATGGGTCTCAGTTTCCTTATCTGTAAGGTGGAAATAATAATAAAAAACAACAACAAATAGAGTTTTTGGAGAGAATTAAATGAGATCACATATGTGAAGCACTTTGCACATGTCTGACATATTCAAAATTAAATAAATGTTAGCTATCATCATTATCATTATTACCTCAATCTAGAAGTCTAGTAACACTTTGGTATATAGAATTTAAATATTGTTTTTCTTTCTCATTCCAACTATATACTCAGAAACTAAGGAAATAACACAGATTGAGTCCATCGGAAGACAAAACCAGGTCAAATTTTTATTTATCTATTTATTGCCTAATTCCTGTCAGCCTCCAATTTGACATGTACACTGAGAGGATATTTTGGAAATTATGCAAGCTCAGAGCCAACACTTAAAATCTCTTAAAGGTCTAGATATTTCCTTTTCTCTATTGTAGAGTCTCCCTGGTAAATGGTCACAGGATTCTTTAAGGAAGGTAAGAAGAGATATTTTATGCTCCAATTATGTCTTTTTAGTTCTTCTCCATGGATTCTAAGCCTTTCTTTCAAACAAGATGCTTGGGATCTGAAAATTAACTCTGGAGTTGGCCGAGAGGCTATGTCTCACCATTCATCAAACCCAGATAGAGTTCTTTTGATCATTCTATCAACTAGGAATTTAGTCCATCTATCTCAGTCTGATGGACCCAACAATAAATTGTCCACTGCCCTGACAGTTCAACCATTTTGAATACTACATGGGCCCTACAACATGTAATTATGCTCACCTTGTCTCTGAAACTGAATGTTGCTACTTTGTCCCTACCATCTGGAATCTTATAATGCCCTCTGAAATCTGAGAGCTCATTTTAATGGCATCATTTTTCCATCATTATCTCCAGCCCACAATAGGAAAATAGTTACCACAATGACTTCCAAGTATTCCCTCTCTAATGCATTTCTCAATGAAGGCGGTATCTTCTGGATTCTCTTGAGGAAACAGAGTTTGGGCTAGATGAGCTTGTTGCATATGACAACTTCATCATCTTTATCTCCCTAAGTCCATGGGTCGTTTTCTATACAGTATGCCAAGGAATTTTGGGTATCTCAGTTTCATCCAGAAGAATCCATAGCTGAGTTCAGATGATAGCTAAATAACTAAGCAAACAATTAGGACCACTTTCAGCTACCCAAGTTAGCATATCAAATCTATATTCTGTGGTATATGCATTTGTGTCAATAAATTTAGCCTGATCTAAAATTAAGTTCCTTTCTTTTGGTCTAGAAATCCCCCAGAAACTGTTTCCATGCATACTTCCCAGATTTTTTGCCATCATAAAATCTTATAATTCTTTAGGTATATAAGCCTTTTTCTTCTGGATTTTTTTCCCTACCAAGCCGGCTGAAAGGAGTTTTTATTTTTTTAATTTTTGAAAATTATTTATTCATTTAAAAAATTATTTTTAGACAGAGTCTCACTCTGTTGCTTTGGCTAGATGCCATGGTGTCAGCCTAGCTCACAATAACCTCAAACTCGTGGGCTCAAGAGATCCTCCTGCCTCAGCCTACTGAGTAGCTAGAACTACAGGCACCCATCATAATGCCAGGCTAAGTTTTTCTATTTTTAAGAGAGACAGGTTCTCACTCTTGCTCAGGCTGGTTTTGAACTTCTGAGCTCAAGCAATCCTCCCGCCTCAGCCTGCCAAGAGTGCTAGAATTACAGGCATGAGCCAAAATGCTTAGCCTTACAATAATGTGACAGATATTAGTAACTGTCCATAGTCCATGCAGAGTTATAACTCCACACTTAAATGACAACATGCTGATATTTCCTAAAGAAAATTACTTTAAAAAAAAAAAGGCATAACCCAGATGTTCTCACATTTGCCCAACTCCATCTAAGTCTAGGTGTGCAGAAGGGCTTACTTAGATATATCCAGAGTAAGCCATATGTAACATGTTACTTGATCAATTTTCTAAAATAAGGTTTCAGGACAGGAAAATAAGGATAAGGGAAGAAAACATGAGAGAAGAAAGTCCTACTTACTATATGTGCAATTTTTTGGACAGTAGTTCGAAATCTTTTACAGATAAGTTACAAACACAGAAAAGGGAGATAAACAATTTTGTACAAGAAATTTGACACATTCTGCACAATTTCCTCACTTTGCTGTTATCATCTGTACAAACTTCACAGTTTACTTGAGCATCACCATCAATACCTGCTTCCCTCATCATTTCATCAACCTCTTCATCTGTTAACTTCTCGCCAAGGTTTGCCATCACACGGCAAAGGTCTGCTGCACTAACATGGCCATTGCCATCCTTATCACACACACAGAATGCTTTTCTAATTTCTTCTTCACTGTCCCTGTCTTTCATTTTTCTTGCCATCACTGTCAGAAATTAAGGGAAGTCAAGTGTATCTACTTTATAAATCATGTCCTGTAACTCTGCTTCTGTGGGATTCAGCCCAACAGACCTCATTGCAGTTCCCAATTCCTTTGTTGTTATAGTTCTACCATCATCCTTGGCAAATAGTGAAAATGCTTCTCTGATTTCTACAATCTGTTCTTCAGTCAGTTGGTCAGCCATGCGGCAACCGCTACCAGTTGCTAAGGCACCACCATGCAACGACCCACCTGCCTCACTCCACTCAGACTAATTCCTTTTTATCTTTTAGAGACAGGTTCTCTTTATATTGTGCAGGCTAGTTTCGAACTCCTCCATCATCCAATCCTTCTAACTCAGCCTCCTGAGTCACTGTGATTATAGGCATAAGCCATGTGCCCAGATTAATGTAATGGAAATTAAACCATCTGGACCAGTGTGATGGCTCATGACTAAATTGCAATTCTTTGGGAGGCCAAGATGGGAGGATTAGGATTGCTTGAGGCCAAGAGTTAAGACCATCCTGGGCAACAGAGTGAAACCAATGCCTCTACCAAAAAAAAAAAAAAAAAAAAAATTGATGGTGGTGGTAGTACACACCTGTAGTCCCATTGTTTGAGCTCAGAAATTCAAGACTTTAGAGGACTATGATAATGCCACTGTACTCCAGCCTGGGTGATAGAATGAGACATTGTCTCTAAAAATAAATAAGTAAAATATTTAAAAAATAAAGCATCTGGCATATTCTTATATTTCCTTAGTGAAATAATATGCAAAAATAACAGAAACCAACAGGCAAAACTTACTTGAAATATCACTGGAAAGTGTGATAACCAAAAAGCTTTTGTAGGTACTTGAAAAATGCTGTAGTCCCTAAAGATTACTTTTCACCTAGATACTGATTATTAATGTATTTCTGACTTTAAGTAAAATTACATGTTAGACTTCTGAGAATTAACTTAATTAAAAATGAGTAAGTCTAACTGTACAAATTCCTATTAATATAAGCATGGGAGTTTGTCTAGTATGTTAAATCTCTGGAGCCCTGCTGCTAATCTGAGTAGTAAATTAAGTAGTTTTCCTTCTACTTCCTCCCAGCATCTAGCTAATAAACCAATTTCTTCTTTTTCTTTTTGTTTTTTAGACAGAATCTTATTCTGTCACCCTGGGTAGAGCACATGGCATCATCATAGCTCACAGCAACTTCAAACTCTTAGGCTCAAGTAAGCAATCCTCTTGCTTCAGCCTCCCAAGTAGCTAGAACTACAGGTGCTCACTACCACTCCTGGCTAATTTTTCTGGTTTTTAGAGGAGAGGGGATCTCACTCTTGCTCAAGCTGTTCTTGAACTCTTGAGTTCAAGCAATTCTCCCACCTCAGCCTCCCAGAGTGCTAGTACGTCCGATCCAATTTTTTTCTTTTCTTTCATTTTTTTGAGACCATCTTGCTCTGTTGCCCAGGCTACAGTGTGATGGCCTCTGCCTCACTCATAGCAATCTCAAATTCCCGGGCTCAAGCAATCCTCTTGCCTTAGCCTCCTGAGTAGCTTGGAGTAGCTGGGACTACGGGCATGTGACATGTGCTACCATGTCTGGCTAGTTTTTCCATTTTTAGTAGAGACAGGGTCTCCCTTTTCTCAGGCTGGTCTTGAACTCTTAACCTTAAGCCACCCTCCCACCTTGGTCTCTCAGAGTGCTAGAATTATAGTGGTGAACCACTACGCCTGGCTATAAACTGATTTCTTTATAAGAAGAAGAGGAGGGATTAAAGTTCTGTTAATAAATGCTAATGAGTCAAATGGTGGATGAAGAAAAAACAGAATATCCATAGCAAATGAATAAACTTATCCTCAAATAACTGAATACTGACTCTGCAAATGATTGTAGCTTTGAAAAGACAAAACAGGAGGCACATACAAAATCTACTACTCAAGGTATGATAAAACAACATATGGAGGTTGCTTCTAAGATAGCTTACTCCTTAGCTTACCTTATAATGCCTGGCTTGCTTGTGAGGACATCAGGAACTTCATACCTGGGTTTCAGGGGAGTCTCCTCATTAATTTTAAGCCTGAAAATGTTTCCCTCTATACCATAAACTTCAGCCAGGAGAGGAACCTGGAAATAGATTCATGAGATTAGCTTCAACAGGTTACTCCAGTGATGCTCCATTCTACACAAATTACAATAATTGGAAAAGCATTTGTTTAAATGCTTTTAACACTCCAAAACAAAGTGGAGAACAGTGGCAGTAATAAAAAGCAGCAGCTCCCCCATCTATGATGCACTTGCTCAGCTCTATCTGTGGTAGCAACAAGAAATACCTTCTGTGTGTCTTACGGATAGCTAAACATATAATGGTCTAAACCAGGATCCTTAAGAGTGAAAGGAGTCTCTATTAATAATTACATGGATAACAGGTATAAAGTGAAACTGGAGTTGGGGAATTGGGACATATGGCTACTATATCTATGATAAAATAGATAAAATAATTAAGAAGAGTTTGGGTATTAAAACCAGAGTATCTAGATTCCAGCTGAATGAAAGATGAAGGGTAGCAGGGTACAGAAAAAATAGAGAGTAAAATGCTGATCACTGAAGTTCTCCAGTGGTGGATGAAATGGTACTTGGTGCCCTAAAACCAAGCTGGGCTTGATTCTTCCATAGCTTGTAAGGGTTGCCTGAAGTTTTTCAAGAGACTGGGAAATTTAAAAATTCTGCCCACAATGGGAGATGGAAACAACATAGAGCTATGAAGAGAAAATAGAATTTAAAAAATAAAAAACACAAAACAAATTCTAGAAGAACAGAAAAAGCTGGATTCAGGCTGCAAATTGCAGTATGTAAATTAGAAAAATATTTTCTTTCTTTCTTCTTCTTCTTTTTTTTTTTTGCAGTTTTTGGCTGGGGGTGGGTTTGAATCCACCACCTCCAGCATATGGGGCTGGTGCCCTACTCCTTTGAGCCACAGGTGCCGCCCAATTAGAAAAAGATGTTAAGACAATGGTTGTTAATTGGTATGCCATGGCACACTGGTCTATTACAAATAACTCATGAAGTATGATGCCAAATTTAGTTACCACTGGGTACTTGTATCATTACTATTATGTCTGTTACATAGAGGCTAAGCTGGGTAGGGTGTGTGTTATAGTGTAGAAAAGGTAGCATGTGGTACAAATAAGGGATAGGAAGTACAGAGAGTAACATGGCCCGGCATGGTGGCTCACACCTGTAATCCTAGCACTCTGGGAGGCTGAGGCAGGCAGATTGCCTGAACTCAAGAGTTCAAGACCAGCTTAAGCAAGAGTGAAACCTGTTATCTACTAAAAACAGAAAAACGAGCCAGGTGTTATGGCGGGCTGGGTGCCTGTTGTCCCAGCTACTTGGAAGGCTGAGACAAGAGGATCACTTGAGCCCACGTGTTTGAAGTTGCTTGTGAGCTATGATGGCACAGCACTGTATCCAGGGTGACTGGGTGAGACTGTCTCCAAAAAAAAAAAAAAAAAAGGCCGAGACGAACTTACCCTCTTGAGAATCTAGGAGAGTAGTCAGGGCAGTTAAACACTGACATGAATCTGAAGAGTGACCAGGTAAATAGTGCTATGATCATGGATGCTTTAATAGATACTTTAAGGGTTATGATGTGGTACTGAGTAAACTTTAATTATCGCTTATATGTTTAATGTTTTCTTGCTTGAGTGTCCTATGAATTTTAACATTTGAAAATGTGTCCAAGTACAAAGAAAGCTGAAATCCTGTTAGATTATGTATTTTTCCCTAGTTAGACATGTATTTCCATTGCTCTCTCAAATTCAATTGAGTTAACATTTATTTGGCATCTATTATTGTGATTAACTAAGCTCTTGGGGAGACTGCAATCTAGCTGAGATGAAAGAATTACAAAGTTCATATAAAGTGGCTTGGAGCCTATAGCACAGTTATGGCACCAGACACATACACCAGGGCTGGCAGGTTGGAACCTGGCCTGGGCCAGCTAAATAATGACAATTGCAAAAAAAAAAAAAAAAAAATAGCCAGGTGTTGTGGTGGGCACCAGTAGTCCCAGCTACTTGGGAGGCTGAAGCAAGAGAATTGCTAAAGCCCAAGTGTTTGAGGTTGCTGTGAGCTGTGACGCCATGGCACTCTACTGAGGGCAACAAAGTGAGACTCTTGTCTTAAAAAAAAAAAGTTAATATAAAGCATTCCCTGGTAAGAAAGGACAGTGTTGGGGGAGAACAAGAGATGGAATTATTAATGATGAAGGTAAGGTGAGGAGCTCTGGGACATCTCCTTGGAGGAGGAGGGGCTTAAGTGGGGCCTTTGGGGACTAATAGGATGTTGGGTAGTCAAAAATGGGCAAGAATATAATAGGCTGAGGCCATATAGGTTGTCTGCCTATATAGGCTTAATAAGTGGCATCTAGTTAAATACTCAGAGACCTTCCTGTTTTTATTAAAATAGCTTTTTCTTAAAAAAATAATTGTTTTAAATCAAAGACTGGTCTGTATGTTCTGTTCTTGAGGATGCACACCCAGGAAAAAAAATCTTAGCTATGTGAGGAGTAGCAATAACCCTGCTTTCACAATAATGAGCTATGTATAAATCAGAGTTAAAGCTCCATTTAAATTTTAACCTAGCAAGCACATTTTTCCAATTGGATGACCTGTTTCAAGGCCAGCTGAGATGGAAGAGGTACAAAGAGACACAACTATCCAGATTCATTCTTATCTCTTATTGTCACCAAATTTCATGGTGCAGACACATAATTCCTTAGACCTTAGCAGGCATTTGCTCCTATAATTTGGCTCATGTAGTTGGAGATTCTGTCCCTACCTTAGAGCCTCTTCCCATCCCTGCATTGAGCCCTGAGTCACCTCCATGAAACCTTAGGACTCTGTGGATGACAGTTTATTTATTTTTATTATTATTTTCTTGAGATAGAGTCTGTATCACACAGGATTGAGTGCCCTGTTGTCATAGTTCACAGCAACCTCAAACTCTTAGGCTCAAGCGATCCTCTTGTCTTAGCCTCCCAAGTAGCTGGGATTAGAGGTGCCGGCCATGATGCCTAGCTAGTTTTTCTATTTTTGGTAGAGATGGGGTCTTGCTTTTGAGACCAGAGGCTGGTCTCAAAATCTTGAGTTCAAGCAATCCACTTGCCTTGGACTTCCGGAGTGCTAGGATTACAGAGCCACTGTGCCTGGCCTGGATGACAGTTTAAAAGCCACTTCCTTGGGGCTTCTTAACTGCCAGTTCTTGCCCAATTCTTCCACCAAAACCTTGCTCTTTCAAAAAGTATTGACATAAACGTTATATCTTTCTCGCTAAAATATTAAGAATTTCTAGATATTCTTATTTCTACTGGCTAGGGATTTGGTTGAATATTTATAAACAAATAATATACAAATAAACTGCCAAACTCCTTCCTTCTATTACAGATGATTAGAAATGACAATGAAAAAACTACATTAAGAAGGTAAGTTAGAAAAAAAAAAAGAAGGTAAGTTAGATTGCTAAAATTAAGAATTTGGTATTAATCCTTAGATAATACAGTAGTTACGCTCAAATTGCTACTTATATCAATTTATGTAAAATAAGTGAACAAACATACCTAAACATTTAAAATGTACATTAAAAAGGAGAGAGAGCACGTTTCCTTAGAAATATTTAAAATGTGCTAGGGCATGGTGATCCACACAGTAATCTCAGCTGTTGGTGGGGGGAAGGAGGTGAGGCAGGAAGAGAGATTGAGCCCAGGAGTTTGAAGCTGTAGTGTATGACAATTGTTGTGAATATTGTGAATAGCCACTGGATTCCAGTCTAGGCAACAAGTGAGACCCTGTCTATTAAAATTTTGGGGGGGCCAGGCATGGTGGCTCATGCCTGTAATCCTAGCACTCTGAGAGGCCGGGGCGGGTGGATTGCCTGAGCTCACAGGTTTGAGACCAACCTGAGCCAGAGTGAGGCCCCGTTTCTAAAAATAGCCAGGCATAGTGGCAGGGGCCTGTTGTCCCAGTTACTTGGGAGCTTGGGAGGTCTGAGAAAGAGAATCACTTGAGCCCAAGTGATTCTGTGAGGTTGCTATGAGCTATGATGTCACAGTACTCTATGGTAGGGGTTGTGGGGGTGACAAAGTGAGACTGTCTCAAAAAAATATTTTTTTTTGTTTAAAGATGTGTATATGTTCACTTATACAGAGCTGAAATAAATCCTCAGAGAAAGAAATATACTGTATTTTGAAGAATCTTTTTAGTATTATGTCTCCACTTGGTTTTTCCTACACCTTTCTCAGAAGCTCATCTCTTACAGTGTAGGAAAGAGTATTAATTCCCTTTTCCTATCTTGTTTAATAACAATGAAGGCCAGGTGTGGGGGCTCACGCTTATAGTCCTCGCACTCTGGAAGGCCGAGGAGGGTGAATTGCTTGGAGCTCGGAAGTTCAAAACCAGCCTGAGCAAGAGCAAGATCCTAAAAAATGGAAAAACTAGCTGGGCACTGTGGGTGGGTGCCTATAATCCCAGCTGCTCAGGAGGCTGAGGCAAGAGGATCACTGAGCCCAGGAGTTTGAGGTTGCTGTGAGCTATGATATGATGACACCACAGCGCTCAACCCAGGGTGACAGAGTGAGAGTCTTATCTAAAAAACAAACAAACGAACAAAAAATCCAAACAATTAACATCTAGTAGTAATCATCCATAAGTCTAGTTTTCTTTTGGCCAACTTCCTTTAGACAACTACATATTAAAGCAGAAGGTTGATCATATTTATATAAAAACAGAAATTTTTTATTCACTCAAAACTGCGGATCACAACTAGAAGAGACTGTTAACTATAGAGTTAACAGAACAGCCCTACAATACACATTTAAATGGTAGTGGGTGTTAAGGGAAACTATGACTCCATTAACTCATTGATGGGCTGATCTCGCTTTTCCTCTCAAGGTCTCTTTGCTAGAATATAAAGCATTGACCTAAAACCCTAAAGTGAAAAAACAAAACAAAAAAACCCCAAAGTGAGTGACCACCTCTCTCAGCTGTTGATTAAAACCTCCCAGGATCTAGACCAGTGATTTTCAACCAGTGTGCCTCAAAAATTTTTAAAGATCATTAATTAAATTA